TTTGGGCAACCTGTACATCTGTAGTTCCATTGAACGGCTAGTAAAACACAGAAATAAACCCTCCTCGGCTTGTCGCGTATGGCGATTGTAATTTGATATAAGGAACTGTGATAAATTCATTAAAAAGGGCTAGATTTTATAATACTGCCCAGGGGTTTATTGAATAAATAATTCGTTCAAGTGACTATAGCACGAAGATGCTAGGACTATTCTGCCGTCATAAACCAGAAGACAGTATCTGATAATTTCTCATTTTATAGGAGCGATGAGAACGTGTAATCCTTCTCAAATTCTAACGTTTTAAGGAAAAGAGTGCTGTTGGTTGGTACCCGATTAAAATTGTTAATATTTTCTGACAAATTCATTAATTTTACCAAGGATATATAAATGAAAAAGCATATACAGATACCTCAGACTTTTCTGAACTGCTGTTTTTTTTAATTAATAACAAAGTCTACCGCACGTTCGGCATATACCTGTATTATATAATGTTTGGTATATGAAACCCTATACAAAATCTGTAGAGTATCCTTACAAATATGGTACTAGATAACCAATTTGAAGGTATTAAAATGTCGACGGCAGCATTGACCTTCATACATATATGATTTATGCATATCCTGAATTCCATATTTTTCAGGCCGAAACAATTTTTCATCAATTTATCTTGTCACATCTGGAAAACAGTACTGTATATTTGAAAATGTAACGTTTTCTAGAATTACGTCATCCAAACTTCTAGAACACACATAAGTAAAAAGAGAAGATCAAAGACGCTAAGACATACACCTTGTCCTTTTCTTTTCTTAGATAACTAAGCGGGGAGAGGGGAGAGTATTTGACGTACTTCCGCTTCCCCTATTAATACAAAATATATCTAGATACTCTAACTTCTCCAAATTAATCGTACTGATTTTGATCAATCTTATATAATCATTTAAATCAAATTTTGAAATAGTTTTCTTTTACTAAAATACTCCGAATTAATATTTTTGAATTTTGACAGGAGAATCACCGTTGCCCTACACTCCTCTATACCCCCACCAATCCTCCTATTGGCGAAAAGAGAAAAACAGTTAATTTGGCGCTTTACTGATGAAAACTTCAATAATTCTTTTACAAAATACCGAAATGTGATATAATAAATTCATATAAATAGTAACTGAACATAAACAACCCAAAACCTATCAATCAATTAGAAACCGTCTATTCGAATTAAAATCTACCGCCAAATTTTATCCAGTACCTACTTCGAAATAACAACGTAGGGGTAAGACTATACTTTCCCCTCCCCTGGTCTCATTCTTTTCGTAGCTGGCGTTGGATGAGTTCCATTAATCTGCGAAATTAGGCGATTTTTGAGAAAGTGTGTTTTAACCGCTGCTTATCTTTTGAACATAGTTTCGTGGCATGTTAAACGTGTTGACGCGTAAATAATTTTGTAGGACCATTGAACAATATTTTTCGGACTTGTTTATGGTGGATTAACGCTCCGGACGTGCCCCCGTCTCCATATTGAGAAAAAGTGTGTATTAACAGGTATGATATTTTTTAAACATAGTTTCGTGGCATGTTAAACGTGTTGACGCATAAATAATTGTGTAGGGCCATAGAAAAATATTTTTCAGACTTGTTTAATGCTGAACTAACTCGCCGGACGTGCTCCCCCATCTCCAAATTAATCTTACTGAATCTGATCAATCGTGTGCATAATTAAACGATTAACTCAACTTTTGGAATAGTTATCTTTTACAGAAATACTCCAAATTGATATTTTTTAGTTTTGAGAGGATAATCACGGTTTCCCGGTTGTGTCCCACCCACCAATCCTCCTCGTGGCGATAAAGAGAAAAGCAGTTAATTTGGCGTTATACTAGGTTTGCCATCGTCTCTATATATATATCGGGACGGCCACCAGTGGCGTAGCTAGAAGTCCTGGGGTCCCGGGGCAAACATTTTTTGGCGGCCCTCATGAGTAGCGTTGCCAGGATAAAGCCGGACATAGTTAGGCTTTTTGATTGCATGTCCGGCTAAAATAAACGGTGTCCATCTTGTCCGGCTTTTGTTAGGCTTTTTACATTTCGCAAACAAGCGAGCACTGCCGATCATGGACTGAAAACTTATACAAAGACACAAAACATTTCACATGGACTTTAAAAGATGTTCCTGAATGGAATCAAGTTTCCGATACTATAAGTATCCTATTGCAAAAGAACGTTAAAATCGACGATAGCAAATGTTTTGACCAACTGCAAAATCTTAAGTTTTCTGAATACTAACAAAGAGAACGTTGATTTCAAGAAGCTATTAGCACATAAGAAATGGGTAGCCTATTTTAAATCGATAAGTCAAGATTGCTTTTCAGAATTCCTAACGCAAACGTTGAAAGAGTTTTTCCTTGATAGGTCAGCAATGCTTTTATGTTTGTTAGTTAGGAAGTGTTATAGGTTATAGATAATGTTTGCATTTTATTTTTGTTGAATAAAGTTTTTCCCCCCGGTGAAAGTGTCCCGACATTGGCTAAAGTATTTATAGCAACCCTACGTTATACTGATAAAAACTTCGATGATTTTTCTAGTCCAGGCTAGATAAAAAGTGAAAAAAGTTTAGCAGATATCTGAAAGTTTTAAATGGAAGGGGCGGTCTTTCTAATGACAAAGACATAAACAGATGCTACCAGACATACTTTGTTTTTTACAAACAATTAGAAAATTCCAAAATTCAGTATTTTGCTTGTATCATTTTCAAACTAAGACTTATAAATAAACGGTAAACTGGAGGTTTTAGAGCATTAAACGACCTTTATTTTGTTTTTTAAGAATTAAAATCAATGAACAATTAAGCTAAATACCGGGCTTTTTAGCAATAATGAATGAATGTTCATTGCAATAACAATTGTAAATGGCTAAAAAGTTGGAGAATAAGGGCATCATTAGTGTTAATGAGTGTGCTAAATTTTTGCCGGTTCGGTTTAATAGTTTATGTAAAAAGCTTTATCCCATGGACAAATTATTTAAACAACTGTTCTTGCCCAAGATATACTCCTAGAACATTTTACAAATGTAAATTGGATTCTTAAAGGTTTCGGCTTCAAGGATTCATGCAAAAAATTGATTATTGATTTCAAAATTGTTGTTAAAAATGATCTTAAAAAATAGTCATTTTTATAGTTATAAACATTTACAATAACCTTGTTATTTTCAGTATGTTATTTTAACAAGTTGATCTGGATAAGCGGTTAAAAACGCATTTTAAAAAACCTTCTACGACCATAGCAGCCAAGATATTTTTTAATTAATATCTCCTTTGTTTATAAACATTAAGACTCTAAATTTTCACAGATTTTAATCAAGGATCTTAATTTTATGATCCAGTTATAATTTCACTATTAATTCAAAGGTATTTAAGAAAATAGCCACTTAGAGAGTGAAGGTACTCCAGTAAATCTTTTGCCATGGATGTTGTGACGTCGTGTGTTTGTCCATAATTAGAGATATACATATACAAGATTGGATCTGGCTAATGGGACGCAATGTCCTAGTGCCAAAAAACAAAAAAAAAATATTTCAGTTAACAAAATACACTCTAATAAAGAGTATACCAATTAACTGCATTATGAATTGTTTAAGCAATTTTATTGTAAAATATGTTATTTTATTAGAGTGAGAGTAAAATCAATGATTTCCAGAACCAGATCAACTTGTTAAAATCAATTATATTGAAAAATGACGGAGTTATTGCAAATCTTCATAACTATAAAGATGGCATTTTTCATTTTAACAATTTTGAAATGAATAATTATTTTTTTCATGAATTCTTGAAGTTGAAACCTTCAAGAATCTATTATACTTTTGTAAAATGTGCTGGGACCATATCTTGGACAAAACAGTTTTTTAAATATTTCGTCGCTGTGATAGACAGGTAGCTTTTTACATAAACTATTAAGCCGATCCAGCTGAAATTTAGCACACATTGATGCCATCACTCACACATTTTAGCCATTTACTAGCTTTGCTAGCAAGCCTCGTATGTCGATTTTAATTCTTATAAAATAAAATTGAAAGATTATTTATAAAATTTAATTTGAAAATTATACAAGCAAAATACTGAATTTTGAGCTTTCCACATTGTTTATAAAAAACAACGCACATCTGGCTGTATATTTTCATGTATTTGTCATTAGAAAGTCCCCCCTCTTTCATTTAAAACTTTCATATATCTGCTAAACTTGTCACGAAATACCTATGTTTTCTTCTCTGTAACCTGGTATAGTTGTACCAATTAGCTTTTATAGAATGTAATTGGAATTCAAATTTCGAGCTATAGTTTCAGTAATTTTGTGTTGGAATAGTGATGCTGTTTCTCTTCCGGTTTAGCGTGAAGCATCGCGTAAGTTCAAAGTGAATTGCTCTCATGTTATCATGTTAAATAGATTTTTTAGGAAAAGCAGGTTTTAAAATACGTGATATGTAACATTATCAGTTTTGTTAGTAGTTGAAGATTGTATGTTTGATTAAGTATATAGGGATACAAAACTGGAGTTTTTTATCCAAATTACACGCAGTCATTTTGAACCACTGACCAGCCCATTCCATTTTTCAGATATATCCATCTGAGCTTCAAGAGATACAAGATCTCGTCTTCAGAAGCGATTCCATCGCTGAAGGAGCATCAAAATGGCTCACGGGACGTTGGTAAGGTCAATTTTTATTATTTATACTAATATGGGCGCTATGAAAGATTCCTACAAAATCCTAATGAGAAATGGCTTTTGGCTACTTTTACTTTCTATGACACTGGCGAGGAATTAACGTAATCGCGAAAAATGGGGACGAAAAAGCTTTGCAGTTTTTTAGAATCGGTCCAGTGGCGGCGGAGCTAAGGTCAAAAAACAGATGAAAAAGTCACTTAAAGTTCATTTTTTTCCTTTTCAGTGGCTCCTCATTATTTTCAGAAAAAAATTAGGCTGTTGTAAATTGGGGGGGAACTCAATTTTTGAAGGTATACTTCCAACCCCGGAATTCGACGCACTATTAGACGTATTCCACACATTCATATATTTTCATTCAATCTTAAAATGATAGAGAAATATCTTCTAAATCATGATCTATACACAATGTTTCAAATTCGACCCTTACCATTTGGATCTCGGAAACTGTAAGGGATTCAAAGTCGTTAAAGGCAGGCAAAGTTACGTATTTAGGTAATCAACAAAATGCCCATAATAAAATTTCGAAATTCAAGGTACTTCCTGAGAGAGACGGAAAAACCGGATTTTCAAAAAATCGTTTTAACTTTTTCCTGACTTCATTTTTAGTGGAATTTCAAAATGACTTGCACATTAACATTGCCACTTTTTCTCCTTTACAAGATAGCATAATTAGAATTTCAATATGAAATTTCGTCTCCTCTCCTCCATCAACTTTATTTTTTCTTATGGACGCCATATTGGATTTATTTTAATTCTGGTCCCAAAAATATGTCATACATTGACATCGCCAATCCTTAGGGCCGTATCGTCAGTCGCTCCTACAATTAGGACGCCTTTATGGCCCCCTTGATTGTCATAGTTTTCAACTGTTCTATGTCAGCTTCTATGTCAGCACTCTGTTTTGAGGTTATGTATCTATTAATTTGCGTCAAATTGTTCATCTGTTATATCAGCCTGAAATTTCTGACAATTCAAAAAGAAAACATAGGCTCACAATAGGAGAACGCTGACGCTGTCACGGAACAGTACAAATCTAGAAATTCCTCAACCTTTCTGGAGAGATAATACTAGGAAAATCAAGGGACGTCTGACGATACGGCCCTTAGAGATTTCAAAAAAGCAAAATTTTTTACATAGTCCTTGAAATTATCAGATAGTCATTTGTTTTGCATACCAGATTTATCCCAAAATCCTTTTTATTTTTTGGCGTAGTCAAATTTTCAATTCGACATTTTTTCATTCGACTTCCATAAACAACTTTGTTTCCCATATGGACGCTATATTGGAAATTTGTACATTTAAAAGGTCTTTCCAGTCCCAAATATGGTGATGTATTTCTTCAGTTGGCCAGGAATTTGTTTTTGGATTAAAATAAGTAAAAAAAAAGGTATGGTGAAACCTGAAAAGAACAAGTATTTATGGCAATAACAATAATAATCATATTTTGTGGGCAAAGCCCGACTCTTCTCTGCACAGTGTTCACTGTTCAATGCAATTATCTTCTTCTCAGTCTTCTAAACTCTGTTGCTATGTTCAATTTAACGTCTGATCTGATATACGGAACAATGAAATCTGGCAATTTCAAGGCCTACCTAGAAAATTCTGTTTTTCTTGAATAACTGGGGGTTGTCAAATGTCAATGTATGTCATACATTTTTGAAATCAGCTACTGATCACAGCTCACAGAAGTCTGAACTGTGAACACCTTCTGAAGATGCCAACCACTCGTGTTGGCGAAACATCAAATAAAAATATTTTACGACGGCCTAACTACCCAAAAACCGACCAAATAACACCCTGTACAGCACTTTTCTTCATCTACTGATTGCTATGGTGTAATAAATATGTTGTAATTTTTGCAAGTTGGTGCTACTCTTCAGTTATTTTATGGTTTGGTTTGAAAAATATAAACAAAATAGTGTTCTTTAAGAAAGCATTTTTATCAAAAACAAAAACATATGCAACAAATTGAATCACCTGTTCAACTAGCAAATATCTACATGACATAAGAAAAAATTGTATACATTATAAATACACCTAAAAGCTTCAAAATAAATTAATAGAAACTAAATAGTACTTAAATACATAATAAAGTTGAGTTTGCTAACTTTTTGTAATTTGATAGTAACTATTTAACTATATAATACTCCTATATGTTTGATCAACAACTATTTGTTTGGAGGTTGAATTTCCATAGTCTTGCACACCCAACCAGCTATATCTATATCATCGGATTCTGCTTTCCTTATCCACGTGTGATTCTGCAACAAAAATCTAGTTAAGTGACGAATATTTGGTTGCGAGTTGTACCAAAAAAAGAGACTAGTGTACTGCTTTCTATCCCTATGTAAACATATATCTGTAATTCCATTATAACATTTATTTCTTCTGTTCACTTTTCAGTTCAAAAATGGTTCTTGTACTATCTCAATCGCATTTTCAAAATCCATGTTTATATCTCACAAATAACAGTTATGTTCGTGCTGAGAATTTTTTCCCATAAAACTTTACAAAGAATGTTTCGGTAAAAAATGTAATTATTTAATCTCTTACCTTTCTTATGCACAAAAGTTTTGATATCTCAAAAAATAGGAGTCACGATCGAGGGTGCAGATGTATGTTTACATAGAGCCTCGAGGCTGCCCAGTACCCCCATCTATTCCTATGTAAACACCTGCAGGATCGGCGAACAATGATTGAAGTTCTGTATTTAGTGTGTATGATAGAGATAAAGAGAAAAACACGTATGTAGAGCAAGGATGAAGCGTGTTTGACTCAATGATGAGTCTGTGGACTTTTATTTGTTCTCTCGCTCTATCATTCGTATTTCTCTCTCTGTTTCGCTCCTACACATTAAATACGGGTCCTCAATCATTTTCTGTCCACTCTTTATAGTTTCATATAGGCATTGATTTTCTGATGTATAAACGAGAACTCTAAACATGTGGAAGTTTAAAGACTTTTGGAAAATGCAACATATATATACGAGTATGTATATATACAGGGTGGCCCATCCATGTGTGGACGGAATATTACAAATACATTCTGGGAAAATCTATTCATGAGATGTTATACATGACATTTGAGGGCACATTTCTAAAATATTGTCCATTATACAGGGTGTCCCAATTTCGACCTACATATCACAGTTGTGATGGAATGCCTCAAATTTTATTGCATATTTGGATAAACCAATTCAAAAGAATAAGATTGATATAACATACTATGGGGTTTTGGTGATTAGCTAGTGAGATGTAAGTTCTTTTGTCTAGAAAAACCCCTTCGTATAGCCTCTTTGACACTTTCCAGCCACTGCTTCTCATGTCTTCCTCTACTGCCTTCTCCTCCAAACAAAACTTTTTGGCATTCTGTAAACGTGTCCTAGCCAGCGCACTCTTTGAGCTCGGGCTTAACACCCAAACTTCACTGCCGTAAAGTACTGATGGTTGGATAACCAATTTATATATCCTTTCCTATGTTTTCCTTGATATCCACAGTGAGTTTATCATCTTGCTCACAGCCCCCATGCTTTACTCCCTTTTGCTATTCTTTTTTCAATTTCTAAATCCTCTGCTTTATGTGTTATTGTGACCCCTAGGTATTCAAATTGATTCACCTTCTCGAAACAGTATTCTCTGCAACTACTTTTTATTGTTAACTTTCCTTCGTCGCTTCCTCTCATTTCTAGGTATTTTGTTTTGTCTTCATTATATGAAGCCCAAAACGTTTGGCAGTTTCTTCTAACCTTCTAAACGTCTTTTCAAGTTCTGCTTTGGATCTGGTTATTATTGCTATATCATCGGCGTAAGCAATCAACTGATGTTTTCTATAGTAAACAACTCCGTCGGTTTGTGTACCACAATCACGTAAAATAGCTTCCAGCATAAAGTTAAACAATGTTCTGGATAGCGGTTTCCCTTGTCTCAGGCCTTTCGTTACGCCAAAAGCTCTAGATGTGACTTTGTCATTGTCATTTTGACTAACCTTATCAGTTTACTTGGTAGTCCTAGAAATCTCATAACTTCATATAATTTTTTTCTGTCAATGGAATCATACGCTTGCTTGAAATCAATAAACAATGCGTGTAAACCAAGATTTGTTCATAGCTATTATAAAATAGCTGTTTTCATGTGATCTTCTATCATTTTCAAATTAATTTCCCAGTATTCACGCTTTTTCTTTCTACACATCTCTTTCACTTTCCGTTTGGTTTGTCATATCTTTTCCTTGACTCGGTTGTTCTCATTTGTATTTTAGCTTTCTGTCTTTATTCCAACTCCCGTTTACAGTCATCATCGAACCACTCTTGGTTTTTTCTAGTACTCGTTTTTCTCATCATCTGTTCTTCTACATTAGTGATTATTGCTTGGATATGATTCCATTCCTAATTAACATCCTGCACAACTGGTGTGTTCTGCAGTCCTGTCGTTATTGCTTGTTCAAGTTGCTGTCTAACTGACGTATCCTCTAGCGCTTTTGTTTCGTACCTTTTGATTGTCTTCTGTCTCTCTAACTGTTTCTTCAGGATTTCTTGTTTTATAACAGCTACTACCATAAAGTGATCTGTATCACTATCTGCACCATGGTAACTTCTAACATTGTGTGTATTGCAGGCATGCTTGTTTTCGATCAGTAGGTGGTCAATTTGATTGGCAGTATTACCAGCTGGTGAGATCCATGTTGTCTTTTGAATATCTTTCCTGTCAAAATAAGTGCTCATTATCTTGAAATTTTGTTCAATTGCAAAGTTAATCAGGAGCTTGCCATTTTCATTTGAGAGGTCATGTTGGCTGTTCCCTCCTGTAACGTTTCGATAAGTGTCTTCACGCCCAACTTTTGCATTGCAGTCTCCTAATATTATTTTGATATCGTATTCTGGTAGACTATTTATCACGTCATTTAACTGTTGATGAAAGTCTGTTTTGATATCCATATCCTTGTCTTCACGTGGGCATGTACATTGATCATTGTTACTTTCTTGTACTTTCCTCTCGGGCGTAGCCAACACAATCTTTCCGATATAGGTTTAAATTCTATTGTCTCTGTTATCTTTGCATTTATTAAAATCCTGCCCCGAAAAGTCTATTTGCACCACCGCTATTACAAAATACGAAATTTTCGCACTGTGATATTTCTGTTTCTTTAAGTTTCGTTTCTTGAAGAGCTATATACAATCATTATGTTGACTAAGTTTTTCAGTGCACCCGCTTCGTAGATACTTCTAACATTCCAAGTTGCAATTCTTATTTGCTCTTCTTTAAATTTATACGTACTTAACGTCTTATTTCTTTCGTTATTTTTATTCCTGTTCCTTACCTGTTCCATTGTCATAGCCATATTTTCTGTCGTCTCCAAGATATCCTTTTCTCTAAACATTACTAGTTTTTTTGTATCAATGTGTCTGGTTTCAACACCTGGTCTTTTTTATCCCATCTCCATTTTTCTCCACTAATGAGCAAGTTCATATATACTATCTTGACTGTATTTCCTTTTGCTCTCTCCGTTTTAGCTCTGGTCTCTTATATGCTTTTGAATCATCTCATTTTTTGTCAAATCACTGTTTATGTAGATTTTTTGCGTTTTCAACGCCAACATTTTGTAGAAAAAGATTCATAGTTTCATTTTGACTTTTGATCACGAAAGAGGTGTGGAAACAGAAAAATTATCATTTGTATTAATAATTTGCTTAAAAAGGCGTGTTAAAAATAAACGTGATGGAACTAAGAATGTTTCCCACAAAAGATGTATGTATAAAAAACATGTTTACATGGGGTTATGTGGAGCCTTAAGGTGCGGCTCGCAGAGTATTGAGGCTAGGAAAAATTTGAATTTCAAACGATACTCTTTTGATACTAAGCTAATTCATGTAATCGCCCACGTACGGCTCTGAATGCTCAACTTACAGGTTTCTTGAATATTCTCTATTATTATAAAGTAATAAATCAAACTTTTCGCGGGCGATTTATTCAAGTTTACGAAAATATAACTCATTCTTAAAACCTGTAATTTTACAACCAGCTAATTAGCCTTTAGGGCTCTACCTGTAATATTACAAAACTTGTTTATTGCCACAATATCAGTACGAAATTTCCTAACCTCAATACTCTTTGAATCCTGTCCAAAGCAGTGTTATGTTATGCGAAACTGCAACTCTGGGAGTGGTGCAAAAATCAAAAGCTCCTTTGACTAAAAGATACTAACCATTAACGTTTTTAAATCGGCCCTTTCGTCGGGGTTCTTTCTAAGACATCTATCGACGAAATCTTTGAACTCGTCGGTGAATATTCCTGAAGGCAACTTGGGTGGAGGTTCATTAACAATATAATCTAACAACTCGAAGATTGCCATTGGCCTGGGTCCTTTGGTGTGGTCGGGTGAGTCGTGGTCGTTCTTCGACCCAAAAATTGCCGCCAATGTTTTCGCGTCTGGAGGGGGAATCGGATACATGCCTAATGCCATTTCGACTAATGACAGGCCCAGAGACCAAATGTCACTTTGTACTGAGTAGTGTGTTCCTTGGAGTCTCTCAGGCTGCAATGTTACCAAGGTTAGGGTAAGGCCGCAGTTCTACTTCGACGTGGCGGCGACGTGTGTGTACAGGGTTGCCAGATGGATCGAGTTGAATCAAAGCATATTATATTCTTCATATTTAGATGGTATTTACGCAATTCTCGCACTTTTATATTTTCTCACTGTGGATAGTTTCTCACGAAATTGAGATAAGACGCGTTTGCAGCGTTACCATATTAGGTGATTTTCCCCATCCTGGGGCGATTTCTGTATCTTGGGAATTTTTAGGGCATAATTTCATGCGAGGTTTCGTTTGTGGGTAGCAAAACCTTTGGGTATTTTTTGGACATCTAATTTCGTGTTTAACCGTGTGAAAATAGTCACTGCCAAACAACAATTTGGACTCTTCTAGCTTTATTTAATTATGCCATGACAAAAGATACAAACAAGTGAGAGAATATAAGATCGTGAGGATTGTGTAAATACCATTTGAATATGGTGTAATTTAATATTATTTGATTCTATATGGCACATCTGGCAACCCTATACAGCACCCTTGGCCCACACCTCGAAGTATAAAGGTGGCCTTAGAGAAGTTGTCTTAGAGCTCTTTCTTCCCAATCTTTTTGTCATGATACTTCATCATATTTCAATGGCTAATGAAGGAAACAGCTGACCAGCAAGTGGCATCTCCAAGTCTGTACAATACTAAACATGGCTGAAATTGACATGTGCTTTCCATCTCTGTAACCATAACTAACTGCATACAGTGCTAGTTCATGCTTATTAGCAACTCATTAGTGCTGTATTGGTCTAGTCTCGGAGACAGATGGATGGGAAGCCCACAAGTGGGTATGGTCTTTGAGTATTTCAAAAGAGAGAGAAGAAAAAGGAATGATCTTTGAATTCTTGTAATTCATCAGTGAGCATTCTTACCGACATGTAACTCCTAGTTCCTACGAATGAGTTAGCCATGGAATCAATGAGTTGTCCAGAAACACCAAAATCACAGATTTTTATCTCACCACTGCTATTTATTAATATATTGCTAGGTTTTACATCTCTGTGCATAATTGAATGCTTATCACGTAAATAACTCAATCCTTTTAGAACAGCTGAAGTTATTTTTGCTAGAATATTTTCGGGAATACGGCCTGCTTTCTTAAGTATCAAGTCCAGCGACCCAGCATCCATATATTCCATACAAATGCTTATCTCGCCATCACTATAGAATGCCCCATAAAACCCTACTATGTGCGCAAAGTTGCACTCATGAAGAACTTTCAGTTCCCGAATGATCTGCTTCTTGATTGCTGGTTTGACTTCTAGGTGAATCAACTTTCTTGCCATGATCAGACCACTACATTTATGTCTTACTTTAGTCACAACTCCACCATTTCCTGATCCAAGTTCACCTAATTTTTCAAAGTCATCATCTGATAAGTCTCCTCCTATTTTTTCTTTTTGGCAAAGGAATACTTCTATCCGTTTTCTTTGAGTATCATCCATATCTAATTCCTCTAATCTTGCTGTTAGATTATCTATGCTGTTTCCTCTAACTAGGCTATTAGGTCTGCAACTTCAGTTAATGAGAAGCTTCCTTTGATGTAGAGGTGCAAAAGATGTATTAAATTTCAATTTGAAAATTTTCTACATTGAGATCTTTTACTTACACACATAACAAAGGAAATATTATTGTGACCAGAAAAAATTACAAATGTGAGATATTTTCTTATATGTTTCATGATGTCTAAATCAAATATGTTGTGAGCCTTAGTATTAAATATTGAACAAGAATATTAGATGATAAAAAAGATGAGATCAAGGTAGATCAGTATGAGGCAATTATAAAACATCTCAAATTTGAAAAAACTGGGGTCAAAATATTTGCTTTGCTTTAATTTACCTAATTACAATTAAAAACATGATACTAACAGTTTTGGTACAATAGAATCTCTGAAACCTGCCCGAGTGCAAAAACTATGAATAGTAGCATTTTGCAATCTCAGCTATTCTCAAACTATTCAGGAGCACTCACTTGTGATTGGTATTCCTTAATAGTGATGAAATAGTCGATCCTGCAGAATGCACCAAGTGAAATTTTAATTTTAGTAAGTGTGAAATAGCAATGCATCTTGGTAAAATAGTTAAGTAAACTCTTATTATATACACAGATGTTAATTTGTTGCAGCAAAAAAAAACACATTTTAAAAATGTTGCTTCCATTGTCAGTAATGGTTTTTCAACTGTAATTGTGAACTTCACTTTTCATGTGAAATAATATATTACAAAAAGGCATATGATTCCACCAGTATTCTAAATATGATTAACATATAATCTGTCAGGCTAAAAAAGATATTTCTATCTACCTTGTTCAAGAAATTTAATTTACAGCTTATAACCTCAAGTTTGAAAAATGAGAGTAAGCAACATTTTTAGCTTGGATAAGATCTGGCTAAGCATTTCACATTCACTGGCTTTGATAAATATCACGTTTAATATGGAAATGACATACATATAGCAATTATAATGTTCTACATCTCAGTTATAAACCATAATAAAACTTTCAATGCTCAGCTTTGAGAAAAGATACTTACACAGTAGATTTTTCATTAAAAGAAGAAGTTGGAGTTACAGTTGGAGTTTGGTCTATAGAACCAGGAGGTAGTGTGAGATTTAACTTATTTTTTGACATCTTTGTGAGTGTTTTTGTTCAGACAAATCACATTCCTGAAACAAAATAATCTTTATTGATTGTCGACCTTCTAAAAACCACAAAACTGAGGTGAATAATTGCACTGATTATCCGCCCAGGCGAACAATGGTTCTTATCAATTAATGATATCATTTATAGAGATAAATTTATATCAACCGGTGGTTGTTTCTTTATTTTTCTCATTCGGAAAATGTGAAATTATTTTTTTCACAAATCAAAAATAAGGGCCACGGAACAAGGGGCCGAAGATGAAAACAAACAGGTGTAATAAATGTCAAATGTCATAAAAATATCGAAGTTGAATTCGAATGGGTAATGTCATACAGTGTTGCCAGAGCCAACATTGTGGGGGGGAGGGGGTAGAGGCGCACTATAAAAGAGGGGGACATTTATTATACAAGTTGTGTCAAAAAACTAAACAAAATTCAATAATATAATAATTAAATAAACAACAGAATATAAAAGAGCATGAAACTATAAAAAGCATTTGTACTATAAACATCGTGATTAAATATAACATAAAACTGTAATACAAAAACATTTGACTATAAAAACTAATACAATATTGCAAACAACAGAACATTTATTATGCAGTCATATTAAAGAAATATCACACGAAACGCGGACAAAGTTGAAGGTAAAATCGATTCCTTTTCTTTGTTTTGATTATTTCCATATATGAGAATGTCCCGTCGACAAAATTGTTAGTCATACTTTGGAAATACACTTAGGTTGTGTTCTTACCACCTACGGTCATCTATACGCGCGTCCGTTGAATAAGAATTTTCGGCCGGTGGTAACCACTGTCGATTGAAAAGATATATGTATTTAGGTTTGATTACTACCTGTACATTAACTAGTCATTTTTTTTTCTGGTAAACATATGTCATCATGTGTACCTAAATTGCAAAAATCCACTACTTTTGACAAAAAATCCGATTCCGCCGCTACACCTCTACCACTTGAAAATTCTGCTACCAGTAGCGGAATTCCGCTACTTCTGGCAACACTAAATGTCAACAAAAAGTTATATCTGATTCTAATGCAAACGCTGATGCGTCTTTTCCACTTTTTGTCATTGAAAAACCTCAATGCATGCTTTCTTATAACGAATGAGATCACTAGATCATGGGGTACCGAACACCGACGATATAATATATCTATATATCGTCGGTGGTACCGAATATTCTTTCAACCACTAGCATTTAGTCGCCATCCTGTGTTTTGTAATGGCAACGTTGGCGACTCCGTGTATATATTTTGTGGTGGCTACCTTGGTCCTTGGTTGCTTGGTTCGTAAACGTCAAAAATTTCGTTATGATAAGCGGTTTTGTATCTTCGCCTTTTTATATGTTGGAAAACGTAAAATTTAATAGGAAATCTCTTTTGAGCACTCACTAAACCAAGTACAAAGGCCTTATGATGGACGAAGTAGGTTATTTCCACTGCTTTTGTATTACATTTATTTTTATTTTTTCTGTAATGTAGCTCTAAAAACATTCATTGAGGTTATGATGTCCGACCGGTTTTGAAAACTTTATATTTAAAATGAAAATAAGTGCATGTAGTCAAAGGACATTCCATCAACTACGGAGTGTTTTCTATCAAGAGCAATAAAGTTTTCATTGTCTTTAGCCCACACGTGTATAAGGCTTGGATATTTAGATTTTCCAAAACTCTGAACAGTACCTAGCTTAAGGATTTCAACAGAGAACAAAAAAATTACAGTAAACTAGGCCTAAAAAGACATACACTTTCTTCAACACGCTGCTATTTTTTTCCTGAGATAAGTTTTAGACAAGGGGTTTAATCAGTAACACTGATATCTTACTATATCTATTTATTTTTTTCTTTTAGCCATATAGCAACATAGTCATCCCCAGTGCACCCAACTGGTTCGAGACAAAAATTATGGTTTATTCACCAGATGATACACTAATTTATGGTACTAGATGTGACTTAATGGTATTTAAGGATATCGCCAGTAAATCAGCTTTACCAAGGTTCCATATCATGAAACATGCTCACTCAAAGAGGTAGGTTGATTGAACCCAGACAATTCTACATTTAACTGTTTCAGTGCATAGGTGCATGTATAATTAGAAACAGAAAAACCATCATGTTCACTAAAATTAAGGGGTATTCCATTCAAAACATTCAACTTTATTTCATATTTTTTTTTTTTTTGTTTTGGCATTGGAAGTTATCCATTTACCACAGATGTGTGTTACTTATATTTCTCTAATTATGGACAAACAAACGACGTCACAACATCCATGGCGAAGGCGAGATTCGAACTCGTGGCCTGGCCGGCTGGCTGATCAGTAGCTCGACACTCTGACCAACGCGGCCAACCGAGGCCCCTTCACATTTTTTGTGATGCACTATATGCAAAACAGATGTTGCATGAAAAACTTTATACAACCCGATAACTTTTGTAAATGTTTTTTTTTTTTTTTTAACGGGCATACAACATGTTGGAGGGGGCCAATTTATAGCAGATCACCCAATACAACTATGTTTTTATTGATTGATTACTAGTTTATGAATAATTTTTCACCCCTGACCCAAAATCAAGTAGTATTATAAGCCTTTTTTTTAATTGAAAATCTTGTCTGAGATGTGTCTGATGAAAATTGTTTCATTACTTCAAAAGTTATGGGGGAGGCTGAACATGGTTTTAAGCAACAAAAAGTAAGTGAATGGGGCTTCAGGTTGCAATGAAAGCCAGTAATTTAAAAGTTGTACCCATTGCCCATGAGTGCTTTTTTTTCGGCTGAAAGTCAGGGTTATATTTTCTACTTGAGGTAAAGTGAGGCATTTAATGCTGCTTGTCTAATAGAAGATTCATTTGAAAGTCAGGGTTTTTTATTTGGTCTAGTGAGCAACTTCTCAACCAAATTATTTTTTCCAGAATCACAAGCTTGGCCATAAATCTTAAATGGAGTGAAAAACAGCTTCTTGTCACAGCAGGCGAGGATAAATTTGTTAAGCTCTGGGATATGGCACATTATGATATTATGGGAATGCACCAACAACATGTAAGTATCTTTGTTTTCAAAATCCACAATAACAATATTCAGAAAACAGCATACCATACAGTGCTTGCTTTTGTATTCTTTGAATAAGTCAAGTTAGCATGATGAAATTTATGTGTGAATTGTGTAAAAGTGGAACATTTTTTTCAATGGAAAGGAAGGTCATATGCATGGTACATCATTTTGAAGCTACTTGAATATGCATTCACTCACTTTCTACATAGCAGAATGGCAGGCTGTCAAAGTTGAGGGTTTTTGTATATAGTCTGATTTATAATTCAAACTAACCATCAGAACACTATAATATGTTATATGAATCTTATTTTGGAAGAGTTTTTCTGAATATGCAATACATTAAGGGGCATTCTGATGAAAACTTATTAAATGTTCAGATAGATCCTTCCGAAAGATGAAAATTGATATTGTAGAGTTTTCATGATTGGATGTTGAGTTATAAGCAATTCTACAAAAACTTTGACAGCCTGCCATTGCACCATTTTGAAAGGTTTATATTCCAGGGTTATAAATTATTCATATTGATACTCAAATGAGGTATCATATATTCATCGGTAATGATTTAGAACTAACATCCATTCATTGTTTCAAAAAAGAATTTAAAAAGGAGCTGCTACAGTTACAATTTACAAGTAGTTAAATATTTAATTTCTGAATTGATAACTGTCGCCACTTCTATTATCTTTTGAAATTTTTTATTATAAGTATATAGCTATAAGTTATATGTATGCTGCATATGATTTTCCCACACTTTGGAAGTTTTAGCTATACAGGCTAGCCCCATCAGCATTTTGGGTTATTATTATGTACAAATGACCTATTGCATACAAAATTGAATATACCAAATACAAGATACTCAACTGATTCACATAAACTTCCAACTATACTAATTTACGTTACTTTTTTTGTAGTTGCAAAGCGAGAAGGTTATAGCTGCTGAATTTTGTGGCTCTGACAAAATCCTGAGTGTGTCCAATGATGGTCATGTTGTCTTATGGAACTACATCCGTAACGAAATGTCACATTTGTCAAATATTTTTGGCTCCGTAAAGGTTACAGTGACAGGCTGCTCAATTTGCCCCCACAATCCAAATGTTGCTGCATTTGGTTTGAAAACTGGCCTTATTTTAATTGTTGATCTGAAAGGTATGCTACAATTAGGAGTGCTCAAAATGTATTTTAGTGATGCCTTGATGAATCGTTATTCAATTTTTCAAAAGTCAAATACCATGTCATGCTCAAAAAAGTCCTTTAAAAATCTGTCTTAATTTTGACAGTTTTTATTGATACCCAAAAATTCAACAGTCATTTGAACAAAGCATTTGTTCATTTTCAGGCAAAGGCAGCATCATTTCCAAATTACGTGGACATGATAAAGAAGTTGTGGATCTAGACTGGTGTCCGATACCATTTAACATCTTCCCAAATGATCCAAAAAACAAAGTTGTCATAAGCCCTCAGCAATTTATTGCTGCCCGAGGCAAGAGCCATGAAAGTATTGTAGAGGACGAAACAGTATCAAACGTGTCAACCAGCATTGAAAAAATCCCAACACTAGAACAACAAATTGGGGCTACTGTAAGCAAGATCAGCACCATGGCTGATTTTCAAGAACTAGAGATTACTGCCAGCACCGAGAGTGTAGTAACTAGCAGCGAGAGTCAGGAAAATCAGCAACATGTTGCTGAGACAAGTGCCACTACATCTTCTGGTAGTGATACCCAAAAGGTAGACCAGAAACATGTAGCTGCAAAGAGTCCAGGGGAATCAACTAGTGATGATAGTCAAAATGACGAGAGAAGTGAAACTTCCCAGAGTGATTCATCACCAAGTTTGGTAGGCTCACCACCAGATATGACTGGAACAGAACAATCGGGCAGGGGCAGAGGGAAAGGAAGAGGAAAAAGGTGGAGGAAGTGGCAGAAAGATGAGGTAATTTGGGTTTTGACTTTGAAACATAAGTATATTAAAAATACAGCATTTTTGGATTTTTGCAACTAATTGGTCATTGACTCCATTTTAGTATTTTCACCACTATTACTAATATCTATTATATACAGTGCAAACATTGTAGGACTTTTTTACACTAACTTGATATACTTTTGACTTACCTTTGTGTGCCATATGAATTTGTTGCATTGTATAACAATTTTAGAATTTTGCACCTTATCAAAAGCTTAGTTTTTATTCACTGCAAATTTCTAGGATTCCAACAAACCCGAAACATCTGCAGGACCGCAGTTGCGCCGAAGTAAAAGAGAGGTAAGGTAATAATGTTGAACATTTGCGACACTCTTTTCGAGTGGTTCAAATGTGAAATCTCAAGAATTATTTTTTTAACTAATTGCTTATTGTCTCCCTTGTAATATTTTCACCATTATTACTCTCTATTATATAGACTGCAAAAAATGTAGGAGATTTTTATACTAACTTGATATATTTTTGACTGACTTTTACGAGGGATGTCTTTTAAGTTTTGCATATGGAAATAAAACAACACGGTAGGTAGTTTTAAATGACTTTATTGTTTTTCGAAGTATTCTCCATGAAGAGATTAATACACATCTGCATGCGCTCGAACCAATTTTCGAAGCACTCGTTTGCTGGCAGATCCAAAACGGCATTTTTTAATGCGTCAACTACTTCTTCTGGTGACTGGAACCTTTGACCACGCAGTTTGTTTTTAATTTTCGGGAGAGTAAAGAAATCGTTAGGACTCAGATCGGGACTATATGGAGGATGGTCCAATAATTCCACGTTTTCTTCCGTTAAATACTGCCTTGTTTTTTGGGCTGTGTGCGAGCTTGCATTGTCTTGGTGGAAGATGATTCTTCTTTCGGGGTTGATTTTTCGAAGCTCGGTGATTACTTTTGGCAAACAAATGGTGGTATACCAATCCACAGTAACAGTTCTTTGCTCATTAAGAGGAATTGTTGCAATATGACCCGCTTTTCACACAAATTTCGCGACCATCTTTTTCGAAACACTTCGAGAACGGATGACTTTTGTTGGATTTTCTTCACCTTGGAACACCCAAACAGCCGACTGTCGTTTATTTTCTGGTTCATAACAGTAAATCCACGATTCATCACCACTAACGATGCTGTACACATTTTTTGAGTTTCCGGAATTGAAACGGTCAAGCGTTTTTTGACACCAATTAACCCTGGTTGCTTTCTGCTCTTCAGTCAACAGGTTGGGTATCCAACGAGAAACTAATTTTCTTACTCCTAATTCTTCATGTATTTTTTTTTAATTGCGGTCTTTGAGATCTTCAAGGACGCTTCAATCTCACGATATGTCACATGTCTATCTTCGATGATGAGTTTGCGCACAGCATCGACGTTTTCCTGGGTGACTGCCGTTTTTGGTGCACCCACCCTGGGATCGTCGCTAAGACTCACCCGTCCATGTTTGAATTCTCCATACCAACGGGAAATTGTCGACTGATGTGGCGCTTCGTTGCCGAAAACAGACAGTAACACAGCAAGGCATTCGTGTTGCGATAATTGTCTCTGAAGGTTGTAATAAATTAATGCGCGAAAATGTTCTCGGTTGAGTTCCATTTTTATAATTGAATTTAAGTTTACTAAAGAGTGAGGTTAAGATTCAGTACTGGCGTTCGATCCGCGCGACCTACTATGTTTTTATATGCAAAACTTAAAAGACATCCCTCGTATATGTCATGTGAATTTGGAAGATTGTTTACGATTGCATTGTATAACTATTTTATAATTTTGCACCTTACTAAAAGCTTTTTTTTATTCGCCTCAAATTTCTAGAACAACAAAAAACTGGACTGGCCGAAACTTGGAACATCTACAAGTGATACAGAGGTAAAATGATAATGCTTAACTTCTTTTTAAACATTGACAACACTCTTTTGAGTGGTTCAAATGTGAAATCTCAAGAATTATTTTTCCCTTGTAATATTGTCACCATTATTACTAATATCTATTATATTCAGTGCAAAAACTGTAGGACATTTTTTATACTTGACACTTCTTTTACTAACTTGATATATTTTTGGCTTTTGTGTGCCACATAAATTTGGAAGATTGTTCAACAGTTGCATTGTATAGCAATTTTATAATTAATTAAATTAAAAAGCGGGTAATATTTCCAGTGCAGAATTTAGGTCCGAAAATAACACGGAAAATTCATATAAAAATGAGTCCAAAAATGTACCTTTACTGAGGTAAAAATTTGAATATTTTGATCCCTACTGAAGAAATATTAAAAATAGTTTTATTGCCACTGAATGTTGATAAACATCAATTATTGATTACAGAAGAAACATGAAAAATATTTTCTGTCACTGAATGTTGAATTTTTTAATACTATTTGAAGTTAGATGATTTGTCTCTCTTGAGAAATTTTTGTTGTAATATTCCTTTTGGAGAAAAATTGGTTTGAAGTACATCTTTGAAAGAACATTTTGTTATTTTTGGATCTATTTTCTGACATGGAAATAATATTGCCACTGTTTTTGAATCACCCTATATATTAATTTAATTTCTAGGATAAAGCGTCTAAATCTGGCCGAAGCACAAGGGCTAGTACATCCACTAGAACACCACAGCCTTCTAAAGAGGACGCTGTAAAACAGGTAAAGCATTCAATGCAAAAAAACATTTTTCAGTGATAATTGCTATTTTGAAGTATTACCATTGCTAACATAACTGTGAAAAATTTTCATAGATGACGCCAGGATAACACTAATTTTTTTTTTTTGGGAAAAATTGTATATATATTTAATTCAATTTAATTTCTAGGATAAAGCGTCTAAATCTGGCCCAAGCACAAAGGCTAGTACATCCACTAGAACACCACAGCCTACTCAAGAGGACACTGTAAAACAGGTAAAGCATTCAATGCAAAAAAACATTTTCAGTGATAATTGCTATTCTGAAGTATTACCTTTGCTAACATAACTGTGAAAAATTGTCAGATGACGCCAGGATAACTCATTTCACAAAATAGAACGGTATTTCAGCTAGCATCAGTCAAATTTGACAAGTATAACAATAGGATTGAGGCTCTAGGGTACTCCTATTCATTATTCCTGTTAACATACCCATAGTTTTCTCACTTTTTATTTTTTGAGATATAAAAAAAAGTAACATAATGGTGACAAAAATTTGTAGAAATGTCATGATTTATGGGAAAACCTTTTGAGATATAGAGACATTTGAAAATATACTAATATAATATACATACTGAAAAAATCGGTTTTAAAAAACGGTCTGTGCACTAATCCCCTTATCATATTTCCAAACTGGTTTATATTTAACAAGAACAATTAAATGGCATCTTGGATTTGCGTAATTTTTGCATAAAGGATTTTGTATTTTCACAAAAAAGATTTTTTTTTTTTGAAAACATTCAGAGTTCTTCTTCTTTATTCCTCATGGCTTCTGTACACGTGTACAATCCGCCAGCTCATTTGTTGTGACTGTAATCATTCTGATTATGGCTGTTAGGTGTCTTCTGCTTATATACGGGATTGTTGGAGTAAAATGGTTTGACCGGGAATTCTTCTTGTATTTTCTCATACCACCTGCCTTTAATGATGAATGTTCGCTTCCACATTGTTGTGAATTTCTCCTTTATTTTTGTTTTGGCCTGAGTTAGTATATCGGGTATGGTAAGTTTCGTATCTTGAGGGATTCTGAGTTGTCTTCCTAAGTTAGCTAGGGTGTCTGCCGTTTCATTTCCTCTGGGATCCAAGCCGGTTCAATATTGTATCCTTTTTCTGCAGCTTCGTGAATTAGCTTTCTTGTTGTGAGGCAGCTGTATTCTGAGTTAGTATCCACACCTTGTTTTGCTATGTATATTGTTTTCATTATCTATTGTATATACTGTTCTGTTATTCAGTAAATTAAAAATTAGATTGCAAATTTGTTTAGGTAGTCCAAGTTTTATTAGTATAATAGAAAATGTTTACGTTGTCGTATGCTGATTTGATGTCTAGGAAGACTGATAACGTGTTTTCTTTTTGTGAATGTGTATGTTGGAAACTATGAAAGCGAGGTTGTCTTGGGTAGAGTGTGCTTTTCTGAATCCTGTCTGCAGGTGGTTAAAAGTTATCTTGCTTTCGAGTTCCCACTCTAGTTTATTTTTGATCAAAATCTCTAGTGTTTTCCCGTCGCACGAGCTTAGAATCAGAGGTCTATAGTTGTTGAGGTTGTTTGGGTCTTTATTTGTTTTAGTATGGAGTATATCAAATGCTATTCCTAGCTGTTAGGAATTTGCATACCCGATAGGCAGTTGTATATGTTTAATAGTGAGTGTAGTGTTGAGCCTGGTAGATTCTTGAGCAATAAATATGAGATATTGTCCATTCCTGGAGCACTATTCTTGTTTATATCTAAAAAAAAATCTGTTAGTCAAACTATATGGTTCATTAACATGGCAGTGCCATAGGGGATTCTGTACTTCATGTATCTACCATTTATAACTGTGATTCATATTTTCAATTGCAGGCTCAGGCTAAACTTGAGAAAAGCCTTAACATTGACCCCTGTGATGATGAGAACACGTTGGTACAACCTAAGGATACAAAAGTGCCATGCCCCGAGGAGAAACCTGTACAAACAAGCATTCTCAAGAAAAGTGAACCACTTCCTTCCTCAGTAGGTTCAGACAAATCTGCTACTGATGCTGAATCTAAGATCAGCAGCGAGTCATTGTCAACAATTGTTGAAGAGCCCTCCTTCTTAGGACGAAGACCACTTAATCCGTCAAATTTGGCCATGTTAGATCTTATAACCCTCCCACCTTCTGCCAGTAGGCCATATTGTGCCAAGTGCGGCAGCGAGAAGAGATGCCATTGTGATGTAAGTGGCTTCAATATTATTAATACTAATTTGAAACATGATACGAAAATATTATATTTATATAAGAGGATGTCTTTTAAGTTTTGCATATGGAAATAAAACAACACGGTAGGTAGCTTTAAATGACTTTATTGTTTTTCGAAGTATCCTCCACGAAGATTAATACACATCTGCATGCGCTCGAACCAATTTTCGAAGCACTTATTCCACTCGTGTGCTGGCACATCCAAAACGGCATTTTTGAATGCGTCAACTGCTTCTTCTGGTGACTGGAACCTTTGACCACGCAGTCTGTTTTTAATTTTCGAGAAAGTAAAGAAATCGTTAGGACTTAGGTCGGGACTATATGGAGGATGGTCCAATAATTCCACGTTTTCTTCCGTTAAATACTGCCTTGTTTTTTGGGCTGTTTGCGAGCTTGCATTGTCTTAGTAGAGGATGATTCTTCTTTCGGAGTTGATTTGTCGAAGCTCGATGATAACTTTTGGTAAACAAATGGTGGTATACCAATCCGCAGTAACAGTTCTTTGCTCATTAAGAGGAATTGTAGCAATATGACCCGCTTTTGACACAAATGTCGCGACCATCTTTTTCGAAACACTTCGATAACGGATGACTTTTGTTGGCTTTTCTTCACCTTGGAACACCCAAACAGCCGACTGTCGTTTATGTTCTGGTTCATAACGGTAAATCCACGATTCATCACCACTAACAATGCTGTACACATTTTTTGAAACAGTCAAGCGTTTTTTGACACCAATTAACACTGGCTGCTTTCTGCTCTTCAGTCAACAGGTGGGGTATCCAACGAGAAATAATTTTCTTACTCCTAATTCTTCATGTTAATTTTTTTGAATTGAGGTCTTTGAGATCTTCAAGGACGCCTCAATCTCGCGATATGTCACATGTTTATCTTCAATGATGAGTTTACGCACAGCATAGACGTTTTCCTGGGTGACTGCCGTTTTTGGTGCACCCACCCTGGGATCGTTGCTAAGATTCAGTACTGACGTTCGATCCGCGCGGCCTACTATGTTTCTATATGCAAAACTTAAAGGACGTCCCTATATGGATATGGATATATCCTATCTAAAGGGTGTCCCAGAAATAACACGCCAGAGTGACACGGGAGATAGATTGGCTACAGATCAATCAGATGAAACCAACATGACCTTGGTAAAAGTTTTCTAGTTTTCGAGATATTGACACTTTTAGGTTTCTTCAAAAAATACTACTTTTAGCTCCTTTTTTTGTCTGTTATGGCTATTACGAACTTCTAACTTATAAGTTTTTTCCTGGGCTACCATTAATAGTTAGTTGTGACAACCGAGTATTCATTTCATTGAAAGAGAGAAAATTTGACTTGATCTTAAATTGAAAGTCATGATAAAGACATCTTCTGGTGAATCTCACAACTGCGCTGTTGAACATTTTTGTTAAAGCAAATTGTCTTTTATGTCTTGAAGTTGCTTTGAAGACCATGGATGCGAAAAAAGGAGGGCTTCCATTTGAAAATATTTGTTTGAGCTTGTTGATTACTACCTTCAGGGTGATTACAAGCTCAAACAAATATTTTCAAATGGAAGCCCTCCTTTTTTCGCATCCATGGTCTTCAAAGCAACTTCAAGACATAAAAGACAATTTGCTTTAACAAAAATGTTCAACAGCGCAATCATTGTCAATGTTACAATTATTTTGCACTCTCGAAACCATACAACTGGTTCAAAACTTTTTGAATGAATGAGCAATTCTCGAAATATTTAAATGGGGAAATTAAAATGGGGCACTGTGTATACAGGTTAGTGTCTCACAGATGGCGGTGTAGTCACCTATATGCATTCATATGCTGTATGAGACACTAACCTTAGCAAAGTAACTAGGTATACGAGCCCCTTCCCGCTTCAGTTGGCCCAACTATTGAAATCTTATTTTTTTCCTTATCAAACACAAATAATGAAAATTTATCAGGGTGTTATATGTTTGAAATATTAACAATGAATATTTTGATAATATATAGTAGAAAACACCACAACTTTATCACTCCCTAATCAAATTTGCAGCATAAAAATATCACATGTTGCAATTACAGCATATCAACCTATTTTCATTTCAATGCAAAATAAGTCTATAACGCATAAGTGACTGAAAAATAAAAGCAATGACAATTGTTTTTATTAATCACAGCTGTCAGAATACGTTTAAAATAGTTTTGGGTAGTTAAGGTTTTCAAAATGGGTAGAGAAAAGGTTATTAGTGAGAAAATTCGGTTACTGATAATCAAATTTTTTAATTCTGGGAAATCAAACTAAGAAATTGCAACTTTGTTAGACTTATCGCGGTACAGTGTGAGAAATATTGTTAGAAGATATAACGTATCTGGTTCAGCTAATATTAAGCCGTGATATGTGAAAAAAGTAATATCACAAATGCCGACCGAAGAGCATTAAGAAGAATAATCGTGAAAAACAGGCGCGCCAATTATTTATAATTAAGTGCTCTGTGGAGTGACGCTGTTGGAAGAATTTCGAGGTCCACAACTCATAGAGAGGCCCACAAACTGGAATTTAGCACTTGCAAGGTAAGTTTTCTTATAAAAAAAAAGTGAAGTAAAAACCCTAAAGTTGCACATCTTGTTTATAGGCCAAAGAAAAGCCACTATTAACTCCACTGCAAAAGAAAAATCATCTTAGATGGGCTAAAGAACATAGACAATGGACACCTCAACAATGGTGTGCAATACAATGGAGTGATGAGGCCCGATTCGAAGTTTGTGTTGGTGACAGTCGCAGTAGAGTTATTCGCACTGTCTGAAGAGAAAAATGAAATTTACAGCATCCATTATGGTCTGGGCAGTGTGTCATGAAAAGGAGTAGGAAAACTTCAATTTATTGATGGAAATGTGGATACAAACAAATATTTGGCAATTTTAGAAGAATTGCTTTTACCAGTGATGGAAGAATGTTTGACATCCGGCCAAGATTTTGTGTTTCAGCAAGACGGTGCAGCGTGCCATACCTCAAAAAAAGGCTATAAAATGGATGGAAGAAAATAATGTACCACTTTTGAAATGGGTTTCTAGCAGTCCAGACCTGTCACCTATTGAAACTTTGTGGCACGAGATTAAAAAGGTTCTACGACAACATCCTGCTCGTACAATCACCGAACTGAGACAAAAGTTTCAAGAAATATGGGATTGTTTTACACCAAATTTTTGCCAAAAGTTGGTTAACACTATGCCCCAAAGAATTTCAGCCTTAATAAAAAATAAAGGGATGTTACCCAATGGTAATCTTTCAATTGTTGCTTTGATAACTTCGTGCATTTATTCGCACATTGTTTATTTGTTCAGATGTTCTATTAGTTATAGGTCTAAGTGGTTTCAAATATGTATTTTTTACGACTAGAGTGTATCTAAAATGTTTTTGAGAAAATAAATTGTTTTAGAAGTAAATAGTTTCGTGATGTTTAGTTTATAAAGGCATATTTTGGTACAAATCTTGAAGTGGGAAGGGGCTCGTACTAGTCAAATCTAAAATTCCGTGCTGAATTTTTTTCCAGGAGAGTACTTATGGAGGCATGAGGTTCTGTGCAATTTCAGGGTTCCAAGTCGAACGGGTCCATAAGCGATTTTTCGGACCTGAAAATAAGTCAAATTAATTTGATGGAAATTTTGCACTTGAACATTTCGGAACATTTGTATTTGAAACTTACAACTTGTTCGTTTTTATTTTAGTTCTTGATTGTTCTTTAAAAGTTCAAATATTATCGAATGCTTAGCTTACTACTTTCATAAGGCACATGGTCGCAACACTACTTCAAATCTGTAATAAAACACACTGAAACACAAAAATGAAAGTGTAGCGCTGATATGTAAATGGTACATATTCGAAAATTGGTGAATTTTGGAGCAAACGCCAAGAATGCGAATCTTGGGCTTTTCCGACAATCAGTACTAAAATAAAACGAAAACTTGTGATGAAAGTTGAAAGTGCATCTGTTCAAATGCCAAATTTTCGTAGGAGTGACCAACTTAAGATTTTATTTATTTTTAATGCTGAAAGGCTCCTTTGTGGTCCCTGATATCCTTTAAATTTTGGCGAAGGAAATTATTAAATAATGACTTATGAAGATTACATTTTTATTGACATTTACAGAAAACTTACTATGAGGATATCCTTTTATTATTATATTGATATTAAATTATTATCGGCGTTTTTATAATCATATTCTCAAGATGCAAATCTTTCAGTGCGTAAAGATGGTAGCACCCGGCGTTGAGGAAGCGCGCTATGAATATCTTCTAGTATCTTCTGCTAAAGAACCGTAAGTATGATTTTTTGTCCTTTTTTTGTTTCGTTTGTTGAAACAATCGTAGTCTGTCAAGCATTGAATTTTATCACTTTGCTTCCCTATATAACTTCTTCAACTTCTGCGCCAACTAAAATATCGGTCATTGTTCAATATTTTGACTCATTTTAATGTAGCAGAACATCAAGACAGTCCTCTTTTTTTATAATTCAAACTTTTTCGCAGCTTATTTGCTAAAAAAATGCGTTTTTCTTTCGCGGAAAAGTCTGATATTTCTGGGTTATTTTAAATTGGAATTTTAAATTATTCTGAATGTGCTACAGGCTTTAGGGGGAACTAGTATTGAGAAACAAGCATTTGCTACATCTGGCTGAATAATTTTACTCGAAAAATGTAAAAGATTCCTTTATTGCCCGCCCGTAATCCCCAACTCACTAGAATTCTTGTCAGTTCCTTGTAAATCCTAAAAATTCCTATTGTTTTATTTATTATTATTTTTATTCCTTCTCACTATTTTGTTATGTTGTTTACTTGATCAATTTTCAGAACGGTGATAGTTTGGAGGGTTGGTACTGGAAGCAATATTCAAGCGATGTTGCGATTGCCTGCCAAAAAGTCTAAGAAATCTGTTGAGAAACCATTTATATCTGTCAAGTGGGTCACTCCAAACAAAATTTACTGTTCATCAAGAAATTATGAGTTGATTCAGTGGACAGTACCAAAAAGTATGAATGGTGATGGGTAAGTAATCAATCCATACTCAAGGAACTTACTGTGTCTGAACTTAGTTTGGTACATAATTTTCACAATGACTATTTTTTTTCTGTGACTCTACAAGGTGTTTCTTAATAACTATCCAAGTATTTCACAAGACGATTTCTCAGGTGCTTTCAAGACAAAAAGTTCAAATAAATATTGGATTAAATTTCTACGTCACTGATTGGGCCAAATGAGGGCATTATTCTGTTAATAGTTTGTAATGATAATTGTCATTACATTAGTTATTTCAAAGCAGAACGGGCTTGGTAGTTTTTTATACGGATTTTACCTCAAATATTTCCTCTGAAAAAAGTTGTTCAAGAAAGGCTATGTGAAATTGAATACCTTATTCATGCTGCGGGGATTACAATTTCTATGTCACTGACAGCCTCAGGCACGGATTTTTTTATATGTTATGCTTTTAGTACACAATTTCAAGTTACTATCTTAATCCATTCCCAATACATATTCTTTCAACCTTTGAAATTATAATTTCATCACTCTGGATCTCGTAATTGAGTTAGTACCTAAGTTTATATGAACTTATGTTATTTTTTTCTCTAGAAATATTGGACCCTTATTATGAAATACCTTACCCAATATTCCGTGGACATAGAAGTACCACGTAATTTTAGACTCAAAATAAGTCGATTGGACATATTTAAAAGTGCTTCGTTTGTATGTTAGGCGGCGTCAAAGTTTTCTTTTCAAAACATATTTTTTTATTTAGCAGATCTTTCATTTACTTCATTTTTTGTTTGCTATAAAAACAGACCATCTCGGATAGTTTTCGAGAAAAAATGAGTTGTTCATCTTCAACAGGTTATCAAACGTCCTATTAATTCTTTAAGTGTATTTAGCGAAAATAAACAAGTATGATATTATTACAATTTTATTTAATAGAGGGAATAGTGCGAATCTTTCATTAAACCATTTTTGTTCCTGCACCTAACAATACGGCGCAAAAAATTATAGTCAACTTTCTCGAAGATGCCATTATTTTCTTTAATATATTTGCAGCATTTTGAATCCTATCCTGTTGATTGGCGTTATCTATCTGTACCTCGTATACCTTTGTTTTCAATGCTCCCCTTATCAAAAAATCGCAAGGATTAAGATCCGGGAACGAGGTGGCCATTAAATAGGAGCTTCTTGACCTTTACCAGTCCATCTACCATCTCAAATTTTAAGTAATTTGAACCTTATGAAGTTTGATGTCAAAAATAATCTGACACTGACATAACATACCACATTTCCGGCAACCAAAAATATTTTTTCTCGAAAACTAGTCTTTGGGAGGGTTGCGAAAAAAATCTGTTATTTATGTAGGGGTGGGGGTAGTTTTCACCCTTCTCGAACCCTTCCTGTTTTTTTTTGCAAAAGTCGTCTAGCAAAACACGTATTCTAAATTGCATTCATATCGGACTATCTGAAAAAATGTGTCTCAAAAAGAAAACTTTGACGCCCTCTAATGGACAAAAGAAGCACTTTTGCATAGAGGTTAATCATGCCCAATTTCCTGATTTTGTCTAAAAGTACGTGGTGCTTCGATATCGACGATATATTTTGACATCCTTTCATTTTGGAAATCCTTTTAGATTGCATAAATCATTTTTTGTATGTTTCAGAGAATTGATGAAAATAATCGACAATGAACACTCTTCCATCATATTTTCCATAGCTGCATCACACACAGATTTTATCAATAAAGATTGGGTGATTCCAACTGAGCACTTAGTCTGGACCACATCACAAGATAGATTGGTGGTTGGTTACCAGCTAGACGGAGATGAGGAAGAGATAAATCGTATCTTCTCTTATTCCACATTTGCTGGTATTCCTCTATGTTTGGCAGAAACAAAGTTAAATCCATATGGGTTAGTGTCGCATGTTTCACGCTCATATAAAGTTATAAAAAAGGCTCTTGAAATTAAAACTGAATTGCATTAGTTATAGTTAAAATTAAAAGATACATGCTTGCCTGAAAAACATATTTACATACGTAGCAAACTAGGCTGATGCAACGTTCTTGAAATACAAAATGATAAGTATACATTTTTCATCTCTTCACAACAGTCAGTTTTGATGCTGAAGTTTTAAAGTTTAACGACGACAAAGATTAGTCATAGCTTTATAAGAGCCGAGAATAGCATTTTGTGATCATAGATCCATTTTTTAGTTGATTATTGACTTTTGCGACATAAAACTATTTATTTCTTTCCGCAGCGTGGCCATAGGAACAGGTGGTGGTGTCCTTAAATTATGGGATTTAAGTCATTCTACAAGTAGAATTGTTAGTATGCATAACTTAACACAAAAAATCCATAGTAAAGTCACCTGTGCCACATGGCACCCAGAGATCGAGACTATTTTAGCATTCGGTACCCAGGAGGGCAGGGTAAGTAACTGTTTCATGTTCAACTTGGCTATTTGGCCACTTGAATGTTTCTGTAATTCATAAATTAAAACCATTGTCATATGCTTTATAAATAGTTAAGGTTTGGAATATTGGGGGTTCCGTTAATATGTGGTGGGCCATTTAACATTTGGATTCAAATCCGTTATAGAAGGAAACTAATGAACATTTTTTGAAATTTTTGGTGGTCATTCAGGAATGAAACTCAATATCATTCTTCTTCTTCTTCTTTATTCCTTATGGCTTCTGTACATGTGTACAATCCGCCAGCTCATTTGTTGTGACTGTACTTTGTCTGGCTCTCAGCCATGTACGAGTCACTGTATTGTCTCGAATTCACATGTAGAAATGCTGTAAAATATATCTATATCTTCTGCTGTATTATTTCTAGAGCTAGGATGTTGCTATTTATGATTGATGAAAACCTTTCTAAAGTGGTGTGGGGAGGATAGTCAGACAGATAGCTCAGCACAGGTATAGACTTTTCTCCTACCCGGGCAAGGGAGGTACATTATACACCCTAAATATTATTTTGTCTGAATGAAGTAGGTTAATAGGTATATGACTTTGATGTTGATATTTGCAAGTATTAATTGGATGTTAAAGGGACATTGAATCCAGCTTCTCTTATCTCTGCATATAGATTAAAACCTAATATTTGATTTATTGGGCATTCTAATAGTATATGATTTAAATCTGCATATTGTCCACAATCACAGAAGGGGTCATCTTCCATTCCTATTTTGAACATGTGAGCTTTATATCTTGCATGTCCCATTCTCATTCTGATTATGGCTGTTAGGTGTCTTCTGCTTATATACGGGATTTTGGAGTAAAATGGTTTGACCGGGAATTCTTCTTGTATTTTCTTATACCACCTGCCTTTGTTGATGAATGTTCTTTTCCACATTGTTGTGAATTTCTCCTTTATTTTTGTTTTGGCCTTAGTTAGTATATCGGGTATGGTATGTTTTGTATCTTGTGGGATTCTGAGTTGTCTTCCTAAGTTAGCTAGGGTGTCTGCCGTTTCATTTCCTCTGGGATCCAAGCCAGTTCAATATTGTATGCTTTTTCTGCAGCTTCGTGAATTAGCTTTCTTGTTGTGAGGCAGCCATATTCTGAGTTACTATCCACACCTTGTTTTGCTATTTGTGCTATAGCACTTTGCGAGTCTGTTAATATTAGGCTTTTCTGGATTTTCTTTTCTATGACTATATTGCATGCTTTGCGGATACTGCCGCCGCCCAGATATTTAAGTAATCAGGGAGTCTGGATGTGTAGTTATGTCCCAGTTGAGGAATGTGTACCCCATATCCCACTTCAGATGCGTCAGTGTGTATGAGGGTATGGGTGTCTCTGAACTGTTCCATAATTTTTAGAAATTGCAACTCGATATTGTGATCTTTTTTGTTTATGTTAAGGGGACGACTTTCATTGCCCGAGTTTGAGTAGTGTAATCAAACTCGAAGCACTGTAGGGCTCATCTCGAGTGAATTAGTGGAATGTATTCCTCCAAAATGTTAAGGGCTTCTATGGTGATGGTGGGCGCTCTATTCTGCTAGTAACGTGTTAGTTGGTGTTGACTTCATAGTACCCGTTATGATCCTGAGCCCTTGAAATGACGTCTTCTGGAGTTTATTGAGCTCTTTTTGATTGCAGGAACTTAACAGTATGCTACCATAATCCAGATAGGATTTAACTAGTCCGTTATACGCCATGTGTAAGGTTGCAGGGTCGGCACCCCAGGAAGCCTTCCCAAAAATTTTTAAAAGTTTTATTCCCCTATTAGCTTTATTTATCATATTGTCTATCTGTGCGCTCCATTTTAAATTTTTATGTAGTATGACCCCTAAGTATTTCGCGCGAACGGCACGAAAATTACGAATTTTTTAACTTTACCGGCCGTTTTCGATCGCGTTTGTTCCTCCCACCGCGACGGCTCTAGCTCCCCCGTAAAGCGCCGAGTTTCTAGTTAGTTATATTAAGGGCCGAAAAACCTTCTTATGGACCCTGATCCTATAACTTCCCACTCAAATGAAATCAAAAATGCCCTACTTTCTTCAACAGTTATCCAATTTGTTTCTTTAAAGGTTGGGTTCTTTGACATATCGTCAATAGCCGAGGTTCCAACAGTGATGCCCCACTATTTTACAAAAGAAATTCATAAGATTCAATATGCACCTATGGAAGACGGATTGGGACTGTACATAGTAGCCGAGGGAAAACTTGTGTACTGGAACTTGACTACTGACGAAAACGGTAGGATTACAAAAAACAAAGCAAATATGTCTAGGGCAGAAATTAAGTCCAGACAATGCAAGTTAATAAATTCCTCATTACCAACATACAGGATATTGAAGTTATAATTTCAAACTAATTAAAAAACTGTATGTGGATAAAAAATACAGTCTACTCGTGAACTTTGAACTTCTGCCTTACACAATTTTCGAGATCACTGTCCATTGATCAACGTATTCTACCTGAAGCTAGCCAACCCAATGCTATATTCTAGCGTCAAAAAAATAAAATAAAGGGGCACTGTAGAATGAACTATGATTAGTCATCACAGCTGTTTCTCTATTTACTATATATACTTTTGAAAAGTGAGTGTTCCATAGATGGCACTGTAGTCACTTATATCCGGCATATAGGTGGCTTCAGCGCCATGTATGGGACACTTGCCTTTTTAAAGTATATACAGTAAACAGAAAAACACCTGTGACAAATTCTCAAAGATGGCGCTGCGATGTCTCGTTTGTCACGGATATTTTTTTTAACGCGGGAATATAGCATTAGGGCTATTTTCAGATAAAATACTTCAAACAATACTATCACATACAAATTGTTTTATTTTCTAGCGATTACACCAGTTAGTACTCCAGATTCGTTCTCGGTATACACCTTCGCCTGGAAGTTGGATTATTCGTCCCTTCTAATTGCTTTCAACCTCGGACTTATCCTTGTCTATTCAAGGGAATTAATCCAAGTGGATTCATTAGTGGCAGAGAATAAGCTGACCTGCTTACTCTGGAATCCATTATCTTATACCAGCGACATCACGCAAAGCTCATTCTGCATGACCTATGCAGGTACACTGAACGGAAAAAAACTGCTAATTTTGGATCATAGCAGACAAAGTGCGAAATTTGACGAAAAGATCGTGGGAACATTTGACGTGGCCGACGATAACATCAACTGCTTGTCATGGAACCGCTATGGCACCAGAGTTGCCGTGGGTACAGACAATGGATTTGTTTATGTAAGTAATAGCGACAGTTACCTGTTATCAATGTTGTTTTAAGCGCGTTCGAGTTGACTTATCACCAAACTGAAAACCGTTTCAGTTTCACAAAAAAGTCTACCTCAAACTCAGGGTTGTCAAAATATAAAAAGCAGTTTACTTGATCTGCCATAAAATATGACAGAAATGCATATAATGATTTAAAGTTAGTGTCGTAAGTATTTTGATCTCTGATGCCTTCCTTCCCACGTGATGCCTCCCTTCCCACGATTAGTGGCGGAAGTCCTGAAAATGATATATTTTTTGGATGCTTTAAGACGTAACATACATTACGAAAAACCATGTCACTCATTTCCGTCGGTATATCTGTCTGTCTGTCAGCCAGTCAGGTAATTTGTCCGCTAATCCTTGGCATGTCTATAATTTGGAAAGTACCTGTCGAAATTTGATGCTAAGAACTAAAAAGCTTTGTAGTTTTTGAAAAAAAGCCAAAAGGAGGATCCTGACTATTTGTGAAGCATATTTTAGGGTAAAAAAATTGGGGATTGTAGAGGGATGGGGGAGGGTATATCTCAATTCTGTTGATTTTAGTATATTTATACGCTCCCAACCTCGGTAATCGTACGCAGCTATTACACGTGTACGTGGCCAACTAACAATGCGAGGTGCAGTATCTGTGAACCTATCCATCGTAGAGGCTTACGGTAAAAACAGTTATTACTAAAACGGCCAAGAGAAAAACTAACTGCAATCTTGTATCAAAAAAAGGGATGTTTCTGTGGATATTAACCTAACAAAAAAATACCTGATCTTTAATTCGAAGATAATCTAAATATTTTTTGTTTAACAATTTTTACTGTATCTCTAAAAAGAAAGTGGCTGAGCCGATTTCAACAAACTTGAGCTAGTTGAAAGGAGCTATTATTGGGCTACAAATGTTATAATATTTGAAGTTTTGTTAGTTTCACGAGTGGCCGCTAGATGGCTTTTTGAGACATGCCGACAGAAATGGTTAATTGTCTCATAAAAAATTAAATGCATTGGTATGTTTTTTTTTTATGAAAACGTAGCTAATTGATGTCTAAACAAGCCCGCGAAAACCGCATCTCGATATCGTGTTTCTAACCTAAAATTTAGGGTAAAGAATATTTTATACGGAAATCCCTTAAATTTTTATTTTCAAACTAATTTTTCTTGAAATCTTTTTTATTCATCAGCATAAAAATACCCTTTTTGAAAACATTACAAAATATCGTTAAAAGGTAAGTAAGTAATGCTAATAACAAATGACAAGAAGCCATCAAAAACCGAAATCGTCCATCAAAAAACCAATACATAAAGCCAAATGACCATCATCCTCTATACAAAGGACGATATTGTTGCCAACCCTGAATAACCATTTTTTATATGTTCATTTGGTAATCAGATTCATTTTTTTATAGATATGGGATTATCCGACGAGGGCTGTACTATGGAATTATATTAATCCAACATACCAAGGAATCACTTGCGTATTATTCAGCCCTGTTGGAACTGAACATATATTCTGCGGTACTAGAGATCATTCACTCAATGTATTTCGCATTCAAGAGCATCCGCCCTTTGATGCAGCAGGTAAGTATTCTAGAAAAATAAGGTAAAAAATTCATCAAAAAGCAACCCTAAATTGAACTCATAGAGATGTCGCTCTTTACTGAGAAAGTTCAATTCTCTCACTTCAATATTCTCCTCTACAGCTTAAGCTCTGTGTGTGGTGTGGCAATGTAATTATATTTTTCAACATAGTACAAACTGTATAATATAATAACCAAATGTTAGAAACTTAGAAGGAAGATATTATTTTGTTTTTTAAAAGAGGAGAGATTTATTTTGTTCGTTCAACTTTTTCTTGATTAGATCTGTCATAGACTAATTATTAAAAATAAAGACCAATTGCTATAGTTTGCTCTTTCTGGGATATGCACTACTAGCTAACCTCGTTTATAAAATAAGAGACTGCTTCTATAGAAAAAATCCTATTCCCCAATAAAAAGTTTAAGTTTTGGCCGTAACAAAAGCTGAGACCTAAATTTCAGTTATCCTGTCGGTTGTACACTAATTATTTCGTGGAGTTGAAAATAATGACTTGTTTGTTTTAGCACTGTCCATAAAGAGATCCGCGGTCTCTGAGGCCAAAGCAGAGCAAGCAGAGAGATTGATAGAGGATACTTTGAGGAGAGTTGGTGCATCACCAGACGAGTCCCAAAGGAGCGTTCCACATAAAAAAAATGAATTGATGCCTTGCTTCCATAGATCGAAACTCTCTACGGAAGAATGTGTATCTGAACTCAGACGCCTGTTCAACTATGTACAATCGAACTGCGATGACGCAGATGAAGGAGCGGCAGCAGCGGCACCACCGGCCGGTGAAGCCGACATTTTAGATATTTTTGGCGGCCAACAGGCAATTGAAAGCCTAGTCGCTCGAAATGGTGAGGCACATATTTATTTTTAGTACATTATTATAAACTACTTTTATTATTCGAGATATTTGCAACGCGAATCTAGTAGAATCAGTTGTAATCAATGAAAATGTTGGCTGAATATTCTACATACACACACACACACACACACACACACACATATATATATATATATATATATATACAGGGTGACTTCGAAGTTGAGTCATTTATTTTAACAGTGAGTAGATCTGATCAAAAGAAATGTTTTTTTCCTTTACCATTTTTCTGGTAAAATTAAAGTAACAAAGTTATAGCCCTTTGGAAGTTTGAGTACTGCCCTGTCTCAATAATAATATGTTCGTGTTTGGCGACAACGGATATAATCCGCCTGACCGGTTCATCGCATCGGAAACAAAAAAGCCAAAGAATTTGAAACGTTTATCACGATGTTTTTCGTTGTTAATGTAGTACAAAGGGCTCGTGAATCAGGTGACTTAAGACCTCACAGGTCAGGGCATGCTGCTCCAAGACCGCACGATCAAATACAGGTCCGCACTGAAATACTTGTCGGGACGATACTTTATTAAACAAGGTAACATTTTTTTTTTATTTATTTTTTGATTTTTACACACATATTTTGGATTATCCTCCTTCTACAATCATTATCTGAAAATTAATGACTCAACTTCAAAGTCAAAGTATATATATATATATATATTTCCATATGAACATGGGTCCGCAACGGCTTTGTTTTCAAGCTAGAGCATATTAGCACTAAAAGAAATGATGATATTGTTCAAACAAATTATAAAAGAATGGAACGTTTTTTATTTTAATTAAGTATGCCCTGTGGTGAATATCACATGATTGACAGTTGTTTTCAGACCCTCCATATACGTAGATACGGATAACGTTATCGAGTATTTTTTGAAAAAATAACATGACATTGATTTGTTTTCCGAAACTCAAAAAAATGTATACAGCATTATTAGTGGTGATGAATCGCGGATTTACTGATATGAACCAGAAAATAAACGACAGTCGGCTGTTTGGGTGTTCCAAGGTCAAGAAAAGCCAACAAAAGTAATCCGTTCTCGAAGTGTTTCGAAAAAGATGGTCGCGAAATTTGTGTCAAAAGCGGGTCATATTGCAACAATTCCTCTTAATGAGCAAATAACTGTTACTGCGGATTGGTATACTACCATTTGTTTGCCAAAAGTCATCACCGAACTTCGAAAAATCAACCCCGAAAGAAGAATCATCCTCCACCAAGACAATGCAAGCTCGCAAACAGCCCAAAAAACAAGGCAGTATTTAACGGAAGAAAACGGACCATCCTCCATATAGTCCCGATCTAAGTCCTAACGATTTCTTTACTTTCCCGAAAATTAAAAACAGACTGCGTGGTCAAAGGTTCCTGTTACCAGAAGAAGCAGTTGATGCATTCAAAAATGCCGTTTTGATCTGCCAGCAAACTAGTGGAATAAGTGCTTCGAAAATTGGTTCGAGCGCATGCAGATGTGTATTAATCTTCGTGGAGAATACTTCGAAAAGCAATAAAGTCATAAAACTACCTACCGTGTTGTTTTATTTCCATATGCAAAACTCAAAAGACATCCCTCGTAGATACCAATTTGCTTAGTTTGAATGAGGCACCCTATGTATCCAATAATCGTCAAACCTTGTTTTTGGGTAAATCGGGCTTGTAGATCACAACTTTTTGAGGTGGTATGTAATTTCGGTAGGGCGGATATATTTCCAGATCACAACGCTGTCAAATTGGTGGGGACTAGGAACTATATGTATCGCCCTATTTGATTGACTCGATCTATTCAATTCAATTTATATGTTATACATTTCCGTCGTTTTTTTTTCTAACTTGTGCCGAACAGAATCCTTCATGGACTGATAGATCATTGCATGGGAAGTGCAGAGTTAACCTACTTGCCTCCATTTTATTTACAGAGGAAATTCAAAGACAACGTAGGCGGGGCCTGGATGTTCCTTTAGCACTTTTCCGTTCCGATACGGTAGATTTCCTAAGGGAAGCTGTTAACCAGAGACAAGTTACACCTGCCGTGGTCGCTTTATCACCATTGGTATCCACCAGGTAAGTCTATAATTTGGAACTTAGGGTGTTACAGAATGTTATCAGGAAAATTTAATAACAGATTTCAGAATTTAGAAGTATGACAAAATATCATACAAACATGGGTCCGGAAATGATACGTTGTGATGATGAACTTTATTTAGCGAAAAATTAAAAAAAAAAGCGTGACAAAACTGTTACAGCGCACTGTTCAATGCAAATGCTAAATCTCCACTAGAGGGTCACTCAAGAGTGCATTTTTGTTCATTTAAAATTTTAGGAGTTGGTTATAATTGTGGGCCTTGATAAACAATGTTGTTCATGCTAATGAGACGTTTCACAACCTAATCCTTATTTTTTCAGTTTATGGATGCAGGCCATAGAGGTCTATGCAGATATTCTCAGGGAGGATCCGAACTCTGATCCTTATGAGTGCATAACTTACTATTTGGCAATCCACCAAACACGCGCGGCAATTGATGTTTTGTTGGCTAGAAACTTACATAGAGAAGCACTGGCACTTGCGAGATGTCGTTGTCCAAACACCGATATCGTGGGCACTGTTGTCGTACGCTGGGCGCATTACGCCTTAGGAAATGGAGATTTTGAAAGGGCCGCCCAATGGTAAGTATGGATTATTACTTTTTGTCGCTACTGACCCGAGAAATCACCGCTATTGACTGCAACCCTGCAGTGAGATACCTTTCTCTAGGCATAGAGTTATAGTCAGTTCACATTTTTTTTTCTGGTACCGACACGAATATAGTCATTATATGTACTATGTATTTAGTATTATTTATTTTGCAACACGTGAAACAGTAACTGTTCGCAAAATTCATGGTGAACTTTAATTTCGTGATGACAATTTAAAATTATTAATTTTTACCATCAGTTTCTTTACCAACAAGCATGCGTTTTTTCATCATAACTTGAGATATAAACAAGAAAATTGGGCATCAAGAGCTATATAACATTTTGTAGAAGAAATCTTAGTTCCACATGTGCTTTTTGATATGAAAATAACAAATTTGCAGGTATGGCTTAGGAGTTAGAATAGAGGATCATTTTTTGAATTGTCTAAAATTATAAGGGTGATACTTAAGACCCCATCGTCAATCGTTCCTAGAATTATAGGACACCTTTAAGACTTCCTTGATTTTCATAGTTTTTCCTATCCTTCAGAAAGGCAGATGCATTTCTAGATTTCTGCTGTCAGTGCTCTATTTTGTTATCTAAGAAATTTCAAGCTGATAAAACTTGGTTTTTATCATCTGTTTTATCAGCCTGAAATTTAAGATTTAAAAAGAAAATATCACCTGACAATAGGAGAGCGCTGACGCTGACACGGAACAGTAGAAACCCCTGCCTTTCTGAAGGAGGAAAAAGACAAGAAGACAATTATGGATTCCAGTGGCGTCCCTGGGGGCAGTTTCACGAATAATATTGACAAAATATGTACGCCACTTTTTAAATAAGGAATATTTTTTTTGGATTAAGCAGCTCATGATACAGCTTTTTTTATTCTTGGAGCTATTCGGATCCTACTTCGTTTTCACGAAAAAACTAAAATGGACTCTGACCTCGTTGTTATGAGCATATTTTTGACTTTCTGCGACAGTTTTCCTGTTTTGACACGCTATATCTTGGAAACCATTCTTCGTAAGACACATCAATATATATACTTTTTTACTTGAATTCGGTTCAGGTAATTGTGGCCTATCATTAGGTTTTTTTGAGTCACGATCTCCTCCACTAATTAAGTAACAGCCTGTATATTTACGTGAACCGATTGGTAGGGATTATTATAGGAAGGCAAATAGCAATTGCATATAGTAATAACCTGTCTCAGTACCTCGGAAACTGCTTGCATAATAACTTTGAACTTTGGACTTATTCATTAAAAAAAAGTGTTTTTCAAAAGATTCATAAGTATTTTTCTCTATTAAGTTTCAGATGCCAAAATTTTTTGTTTATCTTTCAAATAATAAATGATCTGTGATGAAACTGCGAATGTACGTATACATAGAAATAAATTGGGATATCTGAGAGCAGTATTTCTCAACCTGTTACAGCCACGGACTCCTAGGAAATCAAACCCAATTTTCAAGGATTCACTTGAAAACAGATTTCCGTATCCGGAATGAGGAAAGGGGGTGTCGTCGATTGAACAATAAAAAGCGGTTCTCTAGTAATTTCAACAGATAGAGCCAAGAAAAATTTTTTGAAAACTTTGTGCCTTCTTTTCAGTCTACGGGCTTGAACTTTTTTTCTATTAGGCCATCATATGGACCAGATAAACCGCTTATTTGACTTCAATATCCTGTATTTGAAATCTCGATACGATCATTTGACTCCTATAAGATTTGATTGAGATTTTTGTTACTTAGTATTGATTTTAAAACCCTCAAAAAATTAATTTTTGCCTTCTTTTGTGAAATCAACCGCATTTTTTGAACAGTTCATGAGAAGGCTAACGTTTTTTTTTTTACCTAAATGTACCCCTAAGAACCTTGCACGGCGGCAGCTAATTCCATTGAACGGTTTCTCTGGACCGATTGGTCAAAATTTGGAAAAAATCAAAGGAGCAAAATGTTTGTATCAAAATCAAAAAATATTTTCTAGATCCGCGGCTGCTCAGAATTTTTGTTTTTTGGGATATTCCATGAATAAAAGAAAATTCCTCCAATTGCATTTTTTATAACTGAAGGTGTTACAGATATTCATTAGTGACAACGAAAGAAAAGAAATATTTTTTTTATTTTCAGCGCGATTACAGGATGTCCTGATGCAAAAATGTTCTCATTAGCATTTCTAAAAATATGGTCGATTTTCCAAAAAAAAAAGAGGCAAAAAGTGACTTTTTTAAAATAATACTATAAAAAAATCTCCAAAACTTACAATCAAGTTTTATACGGGATGATAAAAGGATCATTTGCCATTTAAAATTAGATATCTCCACGCCAAATGATCGTATCAACATTTTAAAAACAGGATATTGAAGCTGAATGACTGGGCTATGCGTTCTATATGATTTTTTATACTCCAACTACCATGAAGATCTTAACACTCATATGGTACCGTGGGGCTATAGAGGGATACAGGGGAAAGGGGAGACGTCACACGGACTCTGGCAAGGTAATACGTGCACATGTAACGTGCATACATTCTGGCCCCGCCGACTAGATCCGCCGGGTGGTACCTCCGCGTACGACAGTCAGAGACCGTCTACCACCTACGGACAGTCACAACATCGCCTAATAGAACAAAAAAGTGCATGCCCATGGACTAAGAAGAAGGCAATTTTCCAAAAATTGTTGTTGCGCTATCTGTTAGAATTGCATGAGGACCGTTGCTTCTTAGATTTCTCGGCTTAAAAACCTACAAACTAGGATCATAAAGCTTCAAAGTCTAGATACGACCACTTGTCACCGAAATACAGCCTGTGAAATATCACCGAAAAATTTGGATTTTTTTTTCTCGCTCCTTTAATTTTTTTTACTAGCGTACACTGGATTATTCTTTTCAGCTTCATATATGTGCGTCAGTTCCGTGAAGCTGCACTTGCTTTGTTCAGGCGAACCGAGCACGAAATCATGCTGTTTTGTATTGAGCTGGCGTCGGTATCTGGTGATAGTCAACTTTTAGATACCGCAATAGCGCGATACCAAAAGTATATAGACCTCGGCGAGTATACAAAGTCCCAGTTAGAGACAGGGTCAATTGCAGACGTCCTGACGGACGCGAGGAAAATGAATCCAGAATTGTTCGGACCCGGACCATCGGTTGGAGCTGGACCTTCAACTTCGACTACGGCAGCTAGTGAACCACCGGCAACAGCAACAGACGACCAGGATGTTATTGGTGAGTCCGGCCCTGAGAATAATACAAATTTTGAATTATTCGCAACTGCGAATTTTTTGCATTGAATTATATATATTTTCACCTCCGGATTATCAGTATGTTGTGCTTTTTGGCTTAGCGCCTAGAGAATGGTACACCATGGTATTCTCTTACGTAAGGTGAAATTTTATGGTTTTTCTGACAAGCTGCTACAGTTCTTCAAATCATATATGAACAGTCATACATGGAAGATCAAGACATGTAAGAGTGTTTCAAGGCTCCGTGTTGGAACCGTTACTCTTAGTTTATACATTTGATTTACATGCTTGCCTTCAACAGTCCAATATTCAAACGTGCCTGACAGAACGCTACCTCATTTAATTTACAGACCTCGTAGCTTTCAAGTACCATATTTTGCAAGTTGGATTTTGTGAGATGTATGATATTTTTCTTAATTCTGCATTTTGATTTGCAGGTGCGCTACCACCGTTCTTTGTGGCACCTGAACCTTTGTCATTGGATGATGAATTTGGTGCTTCGGCATCTGTGACATCGTTTGTGAGTACTGGCAGTGAAACGTTCATGACTCGTGGTGCACCTGACACCAGCGGTCATGTTGTACCCATCGTAGAACAAGTCGCCATTGAAGGCAAGTAAAACTTTTTTTTTTTAGCAAAAGTAATTAAGGCTCTTTGACGATGCTACAATCCAGATCTCTTTGAAGACAAGTGATCTTAGTGGGCTGCTCTAATAAAATATACACAGTGATAAAGAACATAGGACAGCTAGTCCAAATGGTTTTATTTGGATTAAATTTTGTGTACAGTTACAGTTAGACAAGCAAAAGAATAGCTTTACTTGAAATTCAGATTTTTTCGAAAATTGTTTTCAAATTCACATTTAGATATTAAACAGGGCCAGGACGTTTCATATAGTAAACTTTCTGCACTTTCTGATGCCAAAATCATCATATTTCGAATTAAAATTTCTGCAATTTCGGTCGTTTTTATTATCGATTTTTGTTTTACTCCAAAATATAGCCTAGCGTGTGTAGAATTTTTAAAATGAGATGCGCTTTAATGAAGGAGATATGGTGGAGGGACGACGTTGCCAGATGGACGGTACTATCGGTAGAGCAGGGAAAAGATGTCAAAGGACTAATTGTATGGGCCTGTTTGACTGACTTGATCCGTTTAAGTTCTCTATTTTCCATGTTCGTAACTAACTTTTTTCTCAGAGTGAACTTGACGCTATTTTACATTGCAGGTGAGACCATACTGCATGCGATACATTCACGTGTTACGCAAGAAACGCGAGAAACCTTGCGCTCATCAGCGTCATCTCAGGATGGTTTTGAAACTACCAGTAGCTCGACGTCTATTCCAGATGAGAAGAAGCCGGACTACGACTCAGAGACGGGACAATCTGCCCCAAATAAAAAATGAGAATGAGACCAACATCTCGCTAGCTTAGAGTTATAAGGTTCTAAGTTACAATATAAGCTTTTCGAGAAAAACGAGTTTAAAGTGCAAGCTCTTTTATAGTAAGTTCATGAATAATTAAAAATCAAAATACCTGCTGGATAGAAAGTAGATATCAAGAAAGCTGTACATTCCTGCTATTAGCTTAATAAATATTTTTGGAAGAAGATTGTCGCAAAAAACAACACATAGAACTTTTATTTATTTTAAAGAAACATAGAACTTTGCATACATTTTAAGCAACATGAAACTTTGTAATCTAGAAATGTATCAATTTAACAAGAAACATAGCACTTTGATTAAACTAAAACTTTTACATTTTTAAAAAATGTAACATCAAAAATAAAACCAAGTCATATATAATAATATAGGTTTTGTATTTTTTTTTTTGTTTTTGGTTTAAGTTGAGGAATATTAGCTTGATAAAATTGAAGATCACTTGAATAAGTTGTTGCGTTGCTTTTGAAAAATATAACTGATTAACTTTTGAAAAAGGTACTTTCTCATATTGAATTGTATAAGACAAACTCTGGTAGGATTTGAAAACACTCAGTCTCATTTGAATAACTTTGTATGGCTTGTGGCTGCTAACTTTAAGAAGAACACTAATAAGCGAGAGTGGGCTGGAGTATTCCACTTTGCTAAGTACTCTTTCTATTGCAATGTGAACAGAATCAACTGAACACAAGAGTGACCTAGAATAGAGAAATTCATAGTTATGCTATGCAAGTTATCCATTTGCCAAATAAACTTTGTGATAGCAAACGAAATTATTAATTCCTGTTTTGAGGAATGTGTTTTGTTCGCATCATCCCTGATTACATTTGACAAAATTTACTTGTTATATCTGTACCTTTTCTTCCATCTAAACCACCAAAAGGATCTTCATCTCAGATGATTTTTACTGTAATTAAATGGTTTATTTAGACTCAAAACATCCACCATCGCCACATTCTTACAACATAAACAAAAGAAGCAAATTTTTATGTAGAGTAAGACCTTCACAAAAATAAGCATTGAATGATGCAACAAAGTTCTATGTTGCACATACAACTTTGGAGTCATATTAAAGAATAAAATATTAAAATCATCGAGTTCTATTCAGAACATGGTACTATATAACTTATAAGATATAATATTGCTGCATAGTTTTATCAAATGATGTTCTATATTTTCGTAGTAGACAAACATAAACTCTGTAACCCGGAACAATATAAAGCATGGTTGTCATAGAACTTTGAGAGCATGTATTTACAAAAGTACCAAATTGTCACAGAACCTTATAACTCTAAGCCAGGATCTATTGATCTCATTAGTTATGTAGTATGTAGAATTTATGTTTGAGTTGTTGATTTTAAGGATACCTACGTGTTCTTTAAGAATCGTATCACGTTATTTAGTTCAAGTTGGATTTGTTCCATCGTTCTAAATACGTTTAGAACGATGGAACACAAAATTTGACGATTGTTTGAAAGCTTTGCCTCGAATCTCAGGATTTTAGATTTGTTTGCATATATATGTGCAGGAATATGTTTTAGAATTTATAAGTTTAAGTTGTTGATTTTAAGGATACCTACGTGTTCTTTAAGAATCGTATCACGTTATTTAGTTCAAGTTGGATTTGTTCCATCGTTCTAAATACGTTTAGAACGATGGAACACAAAATTTGACGATTGTTTTTTTTTTCTGCCTCGAATCTCAGGATTTTAGATTTGTTTGCATATATATGTGCAGGAATATGTTTTAGTTTGAATTCCTACTCAGGAATTTATTTTAGTTTAAATTATAATTGAAGGGGTTAGAATAAAAAGGAACATAAACGCTGTTTTGAGATAATCGAGCTTATAGTTGTTTGAGTTTAAAAAAATCCAGGAAATTTTTCACTCGCATCTTTGATTACTTTTATTAGGAGGAAAATATGAAATTTTAGTTGAAACTTGAGTTTTGGAAAATAATTTTGTTTTTTTTGCAAAAAGAACCATTTATATCCTTTTTTCCCAAACATTAGTTCAATTTGATTAAAATGAAAAACCAAACATTTAAAAAAAACATTTTTATTCAGAGTAAATATTGTTACAAACATTAAACACTATTGTCCGAATCAGAGTCAAGTAAAGCCATATCCATCTCACTTTCAGAAGCATCAGCTGTAACCTGCTTTGATGTAGATGCAGCACCTCTGATATTAGTTTGCTTAAGTTTATTAATGTTTCTGTCTTTTTGTTGCCATGTTTTAATTCCTCATAAAAGAAGCAAAGAGGCTTCCTTCGTCGCTTTCCATTTTTTATTTAGGGAAAAACAGCTCACAAGTCGATGAAATAATCAATAAACTATCATAGTTTCGGTTGCAATAGGAAGAGTACAAGTGCATTTGCATACTTTCTTTTCCAAAGAAAACTGCCTTTTCATTCATCTACTTTTTCTACTAGGCAATAGATGGTTCCAAATGTATTAAAAATCACTTATGTACTTTTTATTCTAATAAATATTCACCTTATCTTTTCCGAGCCGGACTTATCTCGAAATGTATAAAAAATAACCCTTTTTATTCCAACCCCTTGAATTATTACTTGACTGATTGAAGACTCAAGTGCCAGTTCATATGGCTGTGACACATTGAAGAACTTCCATGTTTTTTAAGTGTTACATATCGTCATCGTAAACTCGAAACCTTGTAACTCAAAAATAGTAGTATTACAGGATTGAGAAAACACTTTTCGAAACTGAAGTCTTTTGCGAAAAAAAAGTCTTTGTTCCTTGAGAAAATAGTCTGTTCAGGATCTAGAAATTAAGGTAAAAACGAATAATAATTGTTACTTTTGAAGAAAATATATGCACCCTTTGTTTCTTATTCGATAATTGGAACATACTTTGAAGGTAGTGTCTCTTAAAATATACTGAGATACGTGGTTTTCCCATTTCAACAGCAATTATATTGAGATACGAGTATATAATACTTGCTCACAGCACACGCGTTTATCGTTCAATTCTGATACAAGGTTTTGCATTCAGTGTAGACAACTATTTGGAAAAATACTGAGCTCGTACCTCAAAAGCGCTAAAAATTGAGATACAAGGTTTTGACTTTACGACAGTAATATGTACCTTTCGTTTGTATTAATACCAAGTTTTAATAAATGCGTATTTTTACGTCTTATGTTTTATTAGAAAGAGTAAGACTAAGTACCCCTAGCTACACCTTCACCTGATGACATGTAAATCAATCATTTCAAAAACATGTCAGGTTACAACTCTTGGATTATTCAAACATCGATCACAAATGATCCGACTTTTTTAAGCTTAATATATACTAAGTGACATATAAATCCGAACACCCAGTTTAAATGGTTTTATTTTAATAAGCATAATAAGTAAATGATAAAAATTTCAAAATGATTGCATTGCTTTAAAGCCCTTTGACCTTTAATAATGTGTGGATGCACCCTGATGTGCTACGCATTCTCCAACGCGCCTGGGCATGCTTCTGATCAGGTGGTCAATGTCCTCCTGTGGTATCTCATTCCAGGCAACCACCAACTCCTCTCGAAGTGCTTCTAGAGTCTGAGGAGGACGTTGCAAATTGAGCAATCTCCTACCCATCATATCCCACACGTGCTCAATTGGGGATAAGTCGGGAGATCTTGGTGGCCATGGTAACAATGTGACATCATTATGTTGAAAGAAGTCTGGGGTTCTAGAACTTCGTAGATATAACGCTGCGCGTTCATGTTACCTCTGATGAAGATTAAAGGTGACCTGGAACCATAAGCTATAGCACCCCAAACCATAACTACAACAGTGTGATGAACATGTCTTTCAACAAAAAACTGTGGATTCCTCCTTTCACCACGTCGCCTTCTAACCCTGGCACGACCATCGTGCATGCCTAAACAAAATCGAGACTCGTCACTAAAGACAATACTGTTCCATTCCTGATCCCAGAGTGACCGTTGTCTGCACCACTCAAGGCGATTACGTCGGTGTTCTCGAGTTAAAGGGGAGGACCCAGTGTGGCCGGTATGAAAATAAGCCAAAACTTCTCATTCATCGGTAAACACTTCGCATGCCAATAGGTCTTCCGTGTTCTGCAAACCATTCATTTGCAATGGACCTGGTAGTGGAGAAACGGTCCCTTAAGGCCAATAATCTTAGGCGGCGATCTTCACGGTCTGTTGTTCTACGGCGGCGTCCAGTGCCCCTTGCTCTTTGCGTACGGCCTTCTCGAAGCCATGCCTGACAACACCTAACCACAGTGTCTACACTTCTTTGCACTCTAACTGCAATTGCCCGAAAAGAAAGTCCAGCTTCCCGAAGTCCCACTATACGGCCCCTATCAAACTCACTAAGTTGACGAAATCGTACAGGTCTCCGTACTCTAGGCATCGTAACCGATCGTAAAGGATGTCAAGAACCAAAATCCGCCAACGTTGATTCTTTACTGCGGCTGAAATATTCATTTTTAGAGCGTTAGTGAATTAAAAAAAAGCAGTATAAAAACCGGAATGTCCAACTGATAAGGCTGAAAATTTTTTCACTTGTTATTTACAGTAAGATAAATACATTCACCAACTTTTATTAAAATAAAACCATTTAAACTGGGTGTTCGGATGTATATGTCACTTAGTATATTTGAGTTTTAAATGATTGAAAAGTCAAATTATATATTTTGCAGTCGATGGTGACAGGCACACTACCGTGGATGGCGAGCGGCGAGGTTAGTCATAGCAACGTTCATGACCACATGCAGGAATTCTTTTTCAGGGGGAACATCATCGGCAACGAGTAACTTCTTGTGAAAGTACCTGACTTTTTGAAGAGTGTGGGTAGAAAGCTAAGGGAGGTTTGGATCTTAAAAATCACCAAAATTGTACACAAAATTATGCTAAATTTCAAGGTCCAACTGGATTCTCGTCTGCGGCGACGTAGCCAGATGGTCGGTAGGGGAGGAAGTTTTTGTTCACAACTTTGGGTGGGAATTTTAGACTATTTGTACGAGCCTGTTTGACTGACGTGATCCATTTAATTTTCATAGCTTTTTCTCAAATGGGCCGACTTTACGATGACGCGTATTATGCTGCGTGGGTAGTGCAGAGTCAACCTAATTGACGCCATTTTCTTACTCTATTAAACGTGTTTTCCAAATGTTTTATTTTTATTTTTGAGTAAGCAGTCGACCAGTGAAACTACATTATATTTTATCGAATTTGACACTAATGTATAGCAAAGTGTGAAGCATATTCTTAAATTCAAAATGTCGAGTAATGGAAGGAGCAATTGGATGTAATGGTTTGTGAAATGAAACTCTAGTTTCATTTACACATGTAAAACATTTTTTCAACATCCTCCTGACATCGGTCCCTATAATTATAATATGAAAGCGAGTCTCGAGATTTGCATAATAAATCTTTGAAGTATGATTTGAAAACTTCGTTGAATGGACTTGGTTCTAACTAGATTACCATGCTCAGTGTTGACTAATAATCATCTTTGTCATAGCTGAGCATGGTACTTGACGTTTAACAGAGTGATTTTGCACTAGTGTGAGAAGAATAACAAAGTATTGTCACGTGCAAATGTCTTTTGGTAAATTTCATAGTTTATTGATACAATTTCACACGTATTATATCTTTCTCTCTCAGTGATTCAATATTGTGTTGCGCCTAGCCGTAACTAGGAGAATACCTCCACCCAGATAAGTATAATTTAGGCGCAAAAATATCTGTAAAGCGTGTACCATGGTAAACGTCTCGCGGTTTTTTTTATTCTATCACGGTCAAATAATTTTACTGTGCGATATTTTTTTGTTTTGTTAATATTCTCTCTATTCAACTTGCACCCCAGTAACGGAGCATTAATTTGTGCTGTTTGCTGAGATAATATATTGATTCTATAATATCTTGTTTTATTTGGCTCTCTGTGTACTGTTAAATAGGTCACGTTGTTACTGTTAGATTCTTTTCTTTTTTATGGCTGAATCTGTCCTAAGTCACTGGCGCTCTTAACCTCCCTACTCTCCGCTTTATTGAGCTAGGGCTTAAATTTGGACGCCACTTGATAGCCGATTTGAATTGACTCACTAATTGATTTTATTTATCGTATTTTATTAATTAATTTAAAAAAGGGAAAGAGGAATAACACCACCTTTCCTCTTATTAATAAAAAAAAGGCGTGGCAGGCGCCTCCACCAAATATGTTACCGTTGTGACTTGAGAGTTAGTTCAAAATAGGTGTAAATGTATAAGGAAGAGGTACTTCTACAGGGTTATCCAAATTAAGTGTCCACCATTAGTAACTTTGTTATTAGTGAAAATACAAAGTTGTTTGAATTAGCAAACTAGTAGCATTTTTAACGCTGGTAAAAATGAGAAATAAAAAAAAACAATTGAGAGTCGTTATTTTGATTTTTTTCAGTAAAATAACATTTTTTTAAATGGAAACCCCTGTATATTATATTTTTTTCTGTTAAAGCATCAAATTTTAAACAAAAAAGCTTACAATAACTTTTCTCCTAGGTTACAAATTGTTGAAGTTATGGCCTCCAATCTGAAACAATTAAATTGTATCGACAAACTTTATTTTCAACATCAACTTATAATCTTACAAAATACAATAACAATTTTTTTTAAAGAAGATGCTCGAAAACACCACCTTGTTCTTCAATACATTTTTGGGCACGTTTTTCAACTGCTCGAACTGTCTTAAGTATGGTCCTACCATCTATCTGGGTTATCTTTTCCCTAACTGCAGTCTTTAACGCGTCAAGGTTATCGTACCTTCGCTTGTAAATTTGGTTCTTTAAGTAACCCCACAAGAAGTAATCAAGTGGGTTTAGATCTGGTGATCTGGGAGGCCACTGTATTGGGCCATTTGTTCCTATCCACTGATCATTAAAAGTAGTACTTAGAAAATGATAAGTACCTCTGGAGTTGTGGGCAGGTGCGCCATCTTGCTGAAAATGCAGATGATGTCTACTTATAAGATCCAATTCGTCTAAGAAATTAGTCAGAATTTCTGACATAAATTCCACATATCTTTCACCAGTTAGGGTTCCCTCATAAAAGAACGGGCCAACAATTTTTGAACCAATTATACCGCACCAAACGTTGAAACTGAAACGGACTTGTGGGCCTCTTGGATGTACTAACAAAAGATTTTCTCTTGACCAATAATGGTGGTTTTTTCTATTAAACATTCCAGAATTTGAAAAATTTGATTCATCTGTCCATAAAAGGTAACGAAAGTTATTTACATTTTGGCGACAGAAGCTAAGATACCAATGGCAAAAAACAAGTCTTCTCTCTGGATCCCCTGCCAAAAGCGTTTGAACTGGTCGGCACTTATACGGAATAAATTTGTATTTTTTTAAAATCCTTTGAACAGTACCATAACTGAAATTAGAGTCCTTGAGAATATCTGCTATTGAATTCTCACGATAAGCTTCAAAATATCCAATAACTACAATTTCCGTGGCCTCGCTTATTATGAATTCTTTTTTTGCCTTGTTTTAGCAAAAACATTTTCGTTGCCCCTAAATTTTCGATAAAGTCTCAGAAAATATCGTTCATACGGTTGAATGCGAGCGGGATATAATTCACTGTAGTATTCTCTTGCTCTCAAGGAGGATTTTCTGCACACTAAATAGCATTCTAACATATCACACTTTTCTTCATGGGAGAACATTTTTCTTTAAATTAATGACACAATAAAGCTTATAAACAAGTATTTACACTAATGTTTGACATTATTTGATTTTATCATTGTTTTCCAAAGCCTTCTAGTTGCGAGTATGTCCAGTTTAACAATTTGTCGCTTATCTTAATGCTGTCAAATCGCAAACGCCATGTTGTTTTCATAGCCGTCTTAATATTATAATACTGCAAATAATTAAAAATATTTATCGTTATTTTGACTTTAGCGGAAAAGTCATTATGAACTTTTTTGTTTAAAATTTAATGCTTTAACAGAAAAAAATATAATATACAGGGGTTTCCATTTAAAAAAATGTTATTTTACTGAAAAAAATCAAAATAACGACTCTCAATTGTTTTTTTTTTATTTCTCATTTTTACCAGCGTTAAAAATGCTACTAGTTTGCTAATTCAAACAACTTTGTATTTTCACTAATAACAAAGTTACTAATGGTGGACACTTAATTTGGATAACCCTGTATAGTTGGCACTGTATAACGCAGCTAGTTTCCACACAGGGTAGAATGACAAGAAACATCACTCTAGGGGACTGTCCCCAGAGTGGGAATGCCTTCACGTCAGCCCAAGTTGTTCAATAACATCACCACTTCAGCTGATGAGATTGCACCATCGCTGATTCAGCAGATCTGGTTCAGGATATTTGTTAGTAAGCTAGCCTTGCACGGTGGTCACTCGTGACTCTTGTGCATTTTTTGGAAAGTGGGGGAGGCAATGAGATCCCAGGAACATTTTAACCCATTGTATATTAACAATAAGATATTACAAAATATAATATGATTAACAAAATAAAAATTAACAAGTATATATTTTTGAACACTGCATTTAGATAAAATAGATGTAACCAAAGAAAAAGCATTGCTAATTTGCACAGAGTTTCAACCAATTATAAAATTACAAAAACTATTCATTGTGAAGGCTACATTGCATCTTTTCAATGGTCATTTACACCCTTAATTAGTTTACATAGTACATATATACAATTATCCGAAAATATATTTGCACAGTTAACAAATTTTCTTAAATAATTCAAACCCTTTCGATGTATATACATACATAGTATATTCGAATTTATAGCTAGCCCTTAAAAATGCAATTGATAAAAATCTGGAATGTGATATGAGAACAAGGTTTCACTTAAATATGCAACATAATTTTAAATAAAGTTATCTCGGATCAATTAATTATTTTATTTCTTATAGGTTCCTCTCTAGGTTCAAAATCTGGATGCACCATTTCCAAAGTTCAGACGTTACTTCTATAGGGTGTTCCTTTTTTTTTTGGTCCCATCACAATTTGAGAAATCAATCGATTTTAGAAAAATGTAATTTCACTTCGAATTTGTTCAAATCATTCCTGGTTATAACAATTCTTTTTAACATTATTTGCATACTATCATAATACAGAAATTGAAAGATTGTCCCGCCTTTGGAAATGTCACATTCTATTCAAGTAGACTTCTTAAAATCTTCTGATTCAAATTTTGAGGATTTTTGATTTGAATGCAATTCACTGTTTAATGTGAAACTGATTTTTGAATATAATTTGAAAAATCTGTGTAACAAAGATCATCACATCTACAATTCACCGGTTTTACTAGGAATGCCCAGAGAACTATAAAAATCTCATATATCGATTTATAAGAAAGTACTGATATCTTTGTATTCGATTCTAGTAAAGTTAAAAAACATCACATTAAAAATTCGCCTGAAACTTTAGAAGCCAGACGCGAGTATATTTGAGTATTATTTTCGACTTTTGTTACAATAACCGACAAATGGAATTTAAAAAAGTTCCCTTCAAATCAATTTTGAATCAAGTGAGTTTAGGAATGATCAACTGCAACAACAGAAAACATATTTTTAGATTACTAAAATAGAGTATTCATGATATGAAAGAGCTACACAAATAGCAAGCTCAAAAGGCGTATGAGTCAAAACACACTATTAAAATACTATGCATGCGACTTGAATACAAAAAACTTCATACAATGAAGGCAAATCAAATAAATGCGACCTACGATTTTTACATCAAGTTCAATCTTGGAGTTTGATTCCATATCTAACATTTTATTTAATACCTAGACGCATATGTATACAAATAATATAAGGTTAATTTCGAGGTATATTTTATGTCAGAAACTTATAATTTTTCAGACCTCACACTGCCCAACTTTCACAGAATGTCCAAAAACAAGCGGATTGATCACAACATGTATCGAGATCGCAAAGTGCTTCTTTTCTGTTGGATGACAAAGTGGTGCAACTCTTTGCCAATACAATTTAGGATTGTAATCTTGGAAAAAATAGATCAAAAAACGAAAGACTTCGAGGTGCTTGCTATTTTTGGAAAAAACACTCAGAAAACTTTAATTGCAACAAACCATTTTTAGTTTCTAATACATTAGTCTCAATTTTACGGTATTAAAATGTAAGGGTATTTTAAAACACTTGTCAAAAGGCATAAAGACATTCGAAATAACACACATCATAAACTTGATTATAGTACAGTGACGATAAATGAAAATCCTGAAAATAAATCGAGCGTTATTTTTGGACGTCCTGTATATTAGCTGCACACATTGCAGATTGCATTATTAGTAATTCAGATCCATGAGGAGTCTAAAAAAATCGTATCAGATACAAAACGACTAAAAGCCTTTGATGTCAAATCCATACATTATTTAAAAAGTGACACAAAAACGACTAAAAACACATATCAAATCCATTCCTATTTAAAAAGTGATATAGTTTTGTTGCACCAATAAGGCAACCTGTAGTACCCCCTAGTGGCCCATATTCAATAAATTATGGTATTTGTCTGCATGCCAAACAAATAATTTGGATAGAGTATACTCGGGGAAAAAAGAGAGCGATATAATAAAATGAAGTATAAAAATAATGTTATTTATCTCATAAAACCATCTAAAGCAAAAAGATATGCCACAACGTTCGATCTGTGTTTGGGTATATTATATCGGATACTAACCACAGTATTACCACGAGACTCTTCTATTGCTAAATGGATATTATTTTCAAAATGAACACAAAAGTTGCCCATTTAAAAAATGGCAACTTTTGGAACAAAGGAGGAAAACCGTGAAATACTTTTGATGACACCCGGTATACAGAATGTATGAGAGACAGTACTGAAAGCAAGGAAGAATTTCTGAGTATGCCAAGTGTTTTCAAGCTTGTTCCATGTGCTTTTCTGAATTTCTTTCCAATTATACATACTATCTCCCGAACACCATGTATTGTACCATATACCTCTGCTTAAAATGAACATCACATTACTATAATATATTCTATAGTTTTTAAAGTCTTTATACATGAGCTACAGTCATATATGCGACCTACATAGCTTCAAAAGGTTATGCCCTTAGGTTAGGTTTACCTTATATATCTAATATCAGTATTATTCAATAGATGAAGCCAATACGTTGACTCGGTGATTGCAATCACAAGCAGATTTCCAATAAAAATAGTATATCGTACATTCGTCATCCTACCTTAACGGTGCTATTGCCTAATGAGGATGCCGTACACATTTGATTGAATGGACGAAAGCACTCTCTACTTTTGAGATTCAAAATGTGTTACTCTCAAAAAATGAACAGCTCGATATTTTTCGTCCAGTTTTGAGGAATATTGTTTTGGCTGTCATTATATGTATATCAGTCATTCTCGATTTTGTATTATTGAGCTGGCATAAGTACTTGCCAAATTAGCAGTTTCCATCAAATACATAACTAACATACCTGCATGTACCGTCGATGAGTCTTATTATTCAGTCATTTTTATCATCATTAAATTGAGAAAATTCGAGAATATGAATACGCCAAAATCATGTGATTTTGTAAAAATATCTCTAGTAATTTCTGGGATTCGAAATTATAGACTGGATAGAAAAGACGGTTCACAGAGGCATGCACATACCATATTTTACATAGCTTCATCATGAATATATATCTAATAACTATCTTACTTTGCCTATTTCAGAAATATATTACAAGCATTTGTATATTTTCGCTCATATTTTACAGTAAACATCAACCAGCTATAGCTTTGGGCAGGTTTGACAGTGGTTAAGTACAAAACACAACTGATATGCTTTGTAGTTCAACAAAAATATTCAAACAATTGAAGAAATTAATTTTGAAACCCGACTGTTTCCTTTGACTTTACGTTTGTGGTCACTTGATACAAATGACTAAAGGTGAGATTGTAGCACTCCACATTCATACATTCCACACTTACCTTTAAAATCAGATCTAAAATGTTAAAAATTCATAAAAAATGTTAACAGTTGCATATCAGTTATATTTTAGTGCATATATGTAGGGTGGCACTTTTTTGAAGATTATTTCAAATCTACGCTCTCCCAGGCTCAATGGGTTTGAAATGAGTAATATAATAAATTGCTTTTCAATATTGATTTTCCGACCTTGGCACCTTGTGAGAACGCCTTATTTGCCATAATGATTTCAAACGACACGTAACCGGACGGTTGTTAAAATTTTTTCTCAGGGAAGAAGCATTCTATTTAAAAAGTCACCTTTGATATCTGGTGACTCTCCTGTGACTCCAATATGACAATGCAAATAAGGCATCCTCACAAATAGGATACCTCAAGGAACGACTGCATTTCACACTTGTTGTTCGCATTAATTTGTCCGTAGTTTTTCTACCATGCAGGAAGGAACAATAGTACATTAGATGCCTTGATGAGGAAAGGTGCCATTATTGTCCGAGCACTTTTATATCATGAGGCGCATATTGCCCAAGTCTATATAATTTTTACTACCATATATGTAATTTGATTAGATTCCGAAATATAGCATATTTGAGAATTTTTGTAACGTCCGGCACCACTGTCAGACATAGCCGAGGCAATTTATGCATCACAAAACAATTCAGTTATAGACGGATCATTTTCGGAAAAAAGTTTGCTGGGTTTAAAAATCAAATTTTCCCATACATTTGCACTTAAAACTTGAATAATATACGCGTACCAGACAACTCAAGGAGCGTACGTCTGTCTGCTTCGAATGCTCAGTGATAACTGAATGATGATGCGTGTATTTGTGTATACAACGCCGTGCTGGGCTGCGCTAGATCCCTGTGTTGTAAAATCTGTGAGGACTAATGACTAGTTGCATGAGTCTGCTTGAGTGACATGATCCATTTAATTCTTTTGTTATACATGTTCATAATCCACTTTTTTGCTAAGACAGACTATCTTGTGCCGAATATAATCCTTTATGAACTGATAGGAGAATTGCGTAAGAAGCACAGGGGTGCTATTTGACGACATTTTTTACCTAGACGGAGAAGTGCAACTTCTCCTTAGAGGAATCTAGTAAGTAATGGCGATTTCTCAGCTTAGTAGATAGCATGCACCGATATCAAAATATACAAGTTGTTCAAAAATATCAAAATATACAAGTTGTTCAAAATACGGATGGACAACGAAAATCGAGAAATCTTATTATGAACCCAATGAGTTACTGGTAGCGCGGAGAATTTTCAAAATAAGCTCCACACTAGCCTACATAAATATAATCCGTAAATTTTGCGTATAAATATCATTATGTATAATAAACCACGATTCAGTATAATTATGTACGGTTGCGATGCAAAGGTTGCCTAGCTGTCGAGATTCTTATAAAACTGACTACTTATCCTGCGCACCATTCAAGTTCCCACAAGCGTCAGATTGGGTGGACATATTCCTTTGCGGTGTTGGACTTTTGCTAGAACTGGAACTACTGAGCGCCATTTTCTGCATTTGCCTGATCACCGTTGTCGCGTGATACGCTTGCTGAAAATGAAGGTTTTTGGAGTTTGAATTTTTATTACTCGTATCTATACACGGTATCCCACAACACATTGAGACTGATTACGTATTTTGGATACAACTCCACAGTCCATAACCCATTTTACTGAATGATTGATATATACTTGAAACTTTGCTTACAGCTTCCATTTGGTGACTCCGCCAAACTTTGTATCTATTTTTTTTAAGCTACTGCCTTTTTGAGTGGGAAACTAGGAAACCTGTTGAATTCATGACTCATTGTTATGTGGTAAACATATAGTCAATTTAATGCTTTTGTAAGCTAATATGACACGAAATTCGAAAAATATGTCCGACAAAATTACTGCTGCAATGAGGTTGTCGGACGCCTCGAATATGATGCATTTACGTGGTTATTAATTCCAATATATATATATATATATATATACACACCTTAGGAAAAACCATTGTTATACATAGGAAATCATTTCTTGGCAACAGCGCATCGGCTCGTCTACTTTCATCGCTATTCGTACATATTTCCTACCGTTAACGCGCGTGCCGTCGTCAAGTGCGATAAGGGATTCATGACTCACTCTGCGGTTGGGTTTTGTGTAGGAAAGGTGCGTCTTTATTTAATCCAAAATATCTTAAAAATGTACTCGCAAGAAGAAAAGTTTCAAATGATAGAATGGTACATCCAGAATAATTCAGCACGCGCGGTTGTTGAATTATTTGCGGTACGCTTCCCAGATCGGCCAATTCCGTCTCACGCAACGGTTATAAATACCTACGAAAAATTCAAGAGGGTGGGCTGCTTACATAAGTGCCATAGCTGCATGCACCCTGAAGGTTGGAAACCAAAAATTAGCGAGAAAAGGGAGGAGATCGAAACTGCTGTTTGTGCCGCTGCAGAAGTATCTGAGCCATGCTCAAGCAGAAAAATTGCTGAAATGGTACCAATAGCCGATCTCACACCCAGAACAACAAGAAATATTTTGCATCGCAACGGCTATCATAGCTTCAAGGTTGGAACGGTTCAAGAAATATTTCCTTTAGACAAATACCGTCGAATGGAGTTTTGTGAAACGGTCATGGAGAAGGCGAACAGGGATGGAAGTTTTATTGGTAACATTTTGTTTACTGATGAATCCACATTCCCTCTCCACGGTCATCACAATCCTTCAGTCGTTCGGTATTGGTCTCTGAAAAATAAACACCTCAGTATTCCCGTCCGCACGCAGTATCCACAGAAACTGAACGTGTGGGCAGGAATTCTAGGTAATAACATTATCGGACCGTTCTTTATTGAAGGAACTCTTACGGTTGCAAAATATTTGGCGTTACTACAGACGCAGATTGTTCCTGCAATTAGGCAGCTTGGCATTGATCTCGCTAATATTTGGTTCCAACAAGATGGATGCCCGGCGCATAATGCGGCGATCGTACACACTTACCTTGAAAGTGTGTTCGGCCACCGGATTATTGGCGGTAACGGAACAATAAAATGGCCTCCTAGATCACCCGATCTAGCGCCCAATGACTTTTTCTTGTGGGGTTATGTGAAAAGTACTGTTTACACTTTCAATGAGAGAGCAGACAATTTGCATAACCTACAGGTGAAAATCATTGAAGCGCTCGGGCAAATACAGCCTTCTACCCTCTTGAGAGTTCGTCAGGAGTTTTATAACCGCCTGACATACTGTTCATTGAATAAAGGAGACGTTTTTGAGCCCCAGCTGTGAAGGACCATTTGAAACATTTGTGTTCATTATTGCGTTTTATTTTTGAGAACTTATTTATTTGTTAGAATATCTTTTTATTTTCGTTACACATTTTTAAGAGTGTACTATTTTTTGTTAGAGTGGGTATCTTCTTATTTTTGTTATGAGACGCAACCTTTATTGCTACAAAACCAATTATCCATTCATAAAAATAAGTAGAGTGATTTAGGTGATTTCGTGAAATTTGCAGCAGACCGCAGACCTGTATCACGAATGAGAATAATAGGCAGATACGCTGTGTTGCCAATTTGAGTAGAGCTTCCCGAGTTGTGGGGAATTTAGAGTTAAGTGTTGATTCATTCAAGCTTTTAATCAGCATGGCCTAGACGTTAGAACTTCATAAAGATAACATTGAAGCTGAATGCTGCTGGAGTATAGTGTTTCGAATATTCAAAGCGGAGCGGGACACTATACTCGTTCAATGGGTCATCAAGCCACAGTCTTTTCAACAAAGAAATTATTTTACGAAAATGCGTTATATTTTTACGATTTTGTCGTCACCAAATCTCTGTTTCTCAAAATGTACGTCTATTGTAGAATTTTCAGCAAACTAAGCAAGAAACGTGATCTAGTATTTACTCAACATTACGGTTTCTCGAAATACATTAAAAAATGTGACCTAGATACCTAACTGCCCCAAGCTCTTTAAATATAACACCTTAAACCAGTGTTACCAGGTGCTCAGTCACGTTGATTGTCATGTTGTACTGCGCAAGTCAGCAAACAATCTGGCTTAATAAACGTTAGGAATCATCAGGTATTGCCAGATTCCCGAACTGTGCTATAAACAAACCCTGTTTATCACTACTATTTGATAGTCATATGGTAGTTGTAGCCCTATCTAGCGGTCCATGATTTCTCTCAATACTGTTGTATCTCTACTGGCAACAAGAATAGGGATTACAAAATCATTTATACAACAATATACAAACATGAAAAATATGATTTGAACCATGAAATATTAATACAATTTCAATAGTTTGAACTTTTTTCATTTTTGGAATACTCTTATGTGGAATCCGCAGCTATTTTTCCCGAAATTTGGGTAGACTTAGATTTCTTAGAAATATGACATATTGGTATCAGCAACTCTGCGAATGGGAGAAACAAATCGCATTTGTTGAGCGCATCCGTCTAAGCGGCAGGCGCCAGCGCCCGTTCTGTCATCTCTCTTTTATCACTCTTCTACTTTACCCCGTTGTCCGTCACACTCCGACGCTGCCAGATAGGATCCTACAATCGAGTGTCTTTCACGCACCTACATACTTTTGTATATTTCCATCTCTCTTCCTCATCATAATGTATAAGAATGGTTTTTCCGAAGGTATATATATATATATATATATATTATATATATTTTTGAGATGCATTAACTATACTAGTTTAAAACCACAAGAGTGCACTATTAGAAATAGCAGTCCTTTATTATTAAGTCGCCGCATTCACATTTCATTTGCAAGCGTCGTACAGTGCACGTGGTGTAAACAAATTTAAGACGAAACATGAGTTGGTCTCGAGAGATTATCGCGCCTATGATTTACCATGACCTAAAGTCGGTTTAACCTGAAATCAATTATCGAACGGTTACAACAGGCATTGTAAATGAAGCTCCGTTCCGGCAAATGTGTTTCGCTGGTATGCCGAATTTAAAAGAAGGCGTGTTTCATTGGCTGATGAAGAACGTAGTGACTGGTTAGAAGCATTTAATTTGTGGAAGGTCAGGTTACAGAAGTTCATTGATGCGGAGGAGAATACTTTAAACATAAATAAACTAGACTTCGAAAAATAGTTTTTAGTTTTCGTGTATCTCAAAATATATAGCGTAACCCTCCTATATATGACGAAAAAAAGATCACGCGGAAAAAGGTACATAATAAATAGAAAATTCAGTTTACTTCTTTTTGCGGAATTTGCACATTACTTTCTGTTTGTTATATACCTTTGCCCGCATGTTCCTTTTCTCTTTATAGGGCTTGAAGTACCACAGAAAGTGGCTATAACCGGCCGCGTGGTTGTGGTTAGATGTCGCCTTGAAAATTCGAAGTCTCCTAGCCAGTTTATACTAGAAATGTGTACATTGGCTCTTGTTTGTGACTTCGTGTGTCATTTTCGTTCCCTATACATCTTCGTTTCCTCAGGTTACACCCGTATCTGGATGTATGGGCATGTGTATCTACCTTGATAGTTGCATATGTGTATTCATTTCGGATCTGATGTAGCCAACAAGCAGAAATACGTATCGTTCGTGTTACTTATCCTATTTTCTGATCGGATCCACTTTCCTTCTTTTTCAGGATTTTGCCCATTATTTTTTCTATTTGTTATATACCTTGCTGCGCATGATCGTTATCTCTTTGTTGATCCTTTGAGCTTGAAGTACCACGGCAAATAGCTACAACCGGCCGCGTGGTTGTAGTTAGATGTCGCCTTGAAAATTCGAGGTGTTCTGGCCATTTTATACTATAATGTGTAGGTTGGCTCTTGTTGGTGACTTCGAGTGTCATTTTTTCCGCTCCATCTTCGTTTGCTCAGGTTACATTCGCATCCAGATGTATGCGCATGTGTGTCTACTTTTGTAGTTGCTTTCGGGCCTGATAAAGACAACACGCAGAAATACACGTATCGATCTGGTTGCTTATCCTATTTTCTGCTCGAATTCACTTTCTTTCTTTTTTAAGGATTTTGTCCAATATTATTTCTATTTGTTATATATAGTGTCCAATTTTGGACAATTGGTCATAGTGTCATATTTTTCGATTAATACATGTTCAATTTTAAAATTTTCTACTCCAAAATTGAACATATTTTCTGCTGCAAAATGTTTGAACATGTCAAAAAACAGATATTCGAATTAAATCCTTTTCAGTTTTTAATTTTAATTCAAAACCAATGTACTTTCTGTATATAAACCCCTAATACAAAAGTTGTTTAAAATTAATATACCTATTAAAATGTTATCTTTCAAAGTCTGAAATATTTTTTTAGTAAGTATATTCAAAAACGATTTTATTTGTTTAACATTTTGCTTCATAACTTTTCCCACGTTATTGAAGATATAGCTATTTCCTCAGGTATAGGTTTGCAGAAAAAGGAGTTGACATCACACTTTTTAAAATGTTTGGCATAATAAAATGGTTTACTAAACGTAGCTTTCAAGGAGTATATGTTTTTAAATGTAAATGAAAAACTAACTTACTTTCCATCGAGATTTGGCAAAGTTCTTCTTGAGCTGCTCTGATACTGTCCCATGAATATTTTTGTTACTAGCGGCGTTGCCGGATATCCTGAAAACACAAGATTCATAGAAATGGTCCATGCAGGGTGTCCTAGAATAGTGTGTCAATCATTAGTATACGAGGATAAGGTGAAAAGTTCTCGACCTGACACAGACATCAACGAAATATTATAATTTCTGGATGGGGTCAAAAACCGCAACCACACCGAAACCCTCGAAAAGGTCCAAGATATCGTGTTGGACAATAGGCATGTGAAGGTAAGTAAGATAACTGAGACCGTAGGGATATGGGAAGCAAGGGTAAGAAACATCTTGCATAGAGAACTGGGGAGGAGAAGGCACTGTACAGCGTGGGTAATACATTTACTAAATGTTGATCAAAAGTGTATGCGCAAACAGCTTTTGCAGCAATTTTGAAACCAATTCAATAGAAATCGGACTGATTTTATCAGGCGATTCGTTACCATAAACGAGAGATGTGTAAATTATTACCTTTAAAGAGGTAGAACAATTACGGGCGAATACTATTTAAACTTCCTTGATCAAATAAATGAATTCCAAAATTTGTGGGAAGATGCCTGGTTTGAACAAGAAAAGATCAAGACCGCGCACCTGCTCACAATAGGAAAACAGTAGGATTTGGGGTATTATATGCTCGACCATCTTTCTTATTCTTATGATTCGGCACCCTCAGACTTCCATATGTTCCCAGATTTGGATAAGTTCATTTCTGGGAAGCGCTTTGGCTTCGATTAAGTTTAGAGGATCGTAGACTAATATTTTGACAGACTTCACCCTATCCTCGAACACAAAAAAGTAATGCCCAAGTTGCTATAGAAAAATATCCTACCAGATTTCTTTACTCTGAAAGACGCTGCTGGAAATTGGTTTTTCTTAAAAATATTTCGAGACACAGTATAGTTCAACTGAATTTTGACAGCTTAGAAATCAGTTGGGGTCTTACTTGATGATGCCCATGGAAAACAATCAGCTGATTTATACTCAGTGACATCAGAAGTCTTACACCCAGAAAAAATATTTTCTTTAACTTGTTTTTACTATATTTATATTTATATAAACAATGTCCACGTTCTAACTTTGTTTTTGTTTACCTTTGTTAAAATGTTATCTCTTAGTTTTTGTGAAGAAATCAGTTTCCGAGAGTCGAGTAGTACAGATATTTTTAGTTATTGCCTTTTTATTTACTAGTGTCGTCCAAATGATCACGATGTTAATTGTACTGCAATGCGTATGTCTCGTTTGTGGATAGAAGAAGGTAGAGGAACACGAACAAGACCAACTGGTCCACCGAGGCGGACAGACAACTAGCCCTACGAGACCGTTCTGCTACTACGTGTCAGATCGAGGATCAATGGTTTGGAGTCCACGGTTAGTGGTTCCTCTGACTGCGGACCACTGTCGTCAACGTTTGAACTGGAGCAGAGAACGGCAACATTGGGAGGCAGAATGGGATAATGTCATCTTCAGCAACGAATCGCGATTCTGTCTAGGTACGCAAGATGGTCGTAGAAGGGTAACACGCCGCCGTGGAGAACGGCGTGATATTGGATTTGCTGTTGAGAGGCATGTTGGAGTAATGGTTAGGGGGCAATTGCCTATGGTAGCCGATCACCTCTTCACTTTGCTCAAGGCAATAACAACTGCTGCGCGTTATGTTGATCATGTCCTACAAACCACTTTACTGTTATATTTAGAGGGCCGTCCACACGTCCTTTACAGCAAGACTACGCACGTCCTCATATTGCTCGTCTTACTACGGACTTTCTTCAAGAAGCAGGTGTTATTGTTTTCCGCATTTAAATCACATCGAACATGTGGGATATGATGGGAAGGAGACTATACACTTTGCACCATCCGCCACAGACTCTGCCACAGCTAATCCAGGAAGTTCGAGTTGCTTGGAATGAGGTGCCACGGCCAGACATCGATCACCTCATTTTGTCGATGCCTAAACGAATACAGCTGCGGGGTCGCCCAACACATTCTTAATTTTTTTTCTTATTACTTGTCAATAAAATTTCGTGAGAATGTTATCGTTTCATTCTTGATGTAACACTACTTCATTGCAGTAACGCTAGTAATATCACTGAGTATACATTGCCAGCCCTAACGCAATTTTTCTGACAAGTTTTACACCCTTTATAATAATGGCCCCCAAAAAATGTTTTTAGAAAGTGCAATGCTTTAGCTGAGTAAATTATAGTTTAAAAACATGCTTTGATAGCGAATCGAACTAAAAAGTAGAAAATAATTTTCAAGTATACGAGAGTTTGTGTGACTGCAATAGACAGTCCAACAATCAAGTATGGTATATGGGGGGCCACAATAGGTCCATTTGGGTCGCAGTGACGTTTAGGCTATCAAACCAACCCCTTACTTTTGTTATATTGCACTACTCATAATATAACCAGGTACTTGATCGATGAACAATGTACAGATAAATACAGCTAACACGGATGAGAACACGGTCCGATCCTGTACCGCTGTGCTATTGCTGCTTCTGGCTGAAGCGAGTGCGGCATCAGCTCGAGTTATATTGATGCTTCTTCTGCCACACTCGTCTGACAAATTATACCCAGAGTGATTCTTCTGGTCTGTAGATGTAGGAGGTTTGTAAATTAAGTGATGAATCTCATCACTTACCAATCTGGTAACGTAGGCGCCGGGCTTAGAGGGGAGACATGATCCGCCATCAGCATAAGTTTGAACTTGAGCTCGAGTCATTTGGTTGTCCGTACCGATTTTTTTGTGAAACAGTTTTCTTTTGTGTTCCAAAAATGAGTGACATCAATTTCGAGCAACGGTCGGCCATGAGGTTTTGCTTCAGACTTTAAGGTGTTTTTAGACCGATGAAAATATCGACAGAATCCGGGATCTTGTGCATTCAGATGGTCGGTTGAAAGTCAGAATGATCGGGGAAGAGCTGAATTTGACTCACACCACCGTTCATCAAATCAAGAATAACAGGATGTTGCACCTCGATAACGCTCCTTGTCACACTGCAATGTCAATAAACGAGTTTTGTAAAAACATTTCTATGGCACCTCAGCCTCCTTATTCGCCTGACTTGAGTCCTTGTAATATTTTTCTCTTACCGAAGTTGAAAAATCAACTCAAGGGAACTCATTTTGGGACAGTCGAAAACATTCAAACGGCTGTAACTGACCAGCTGAAAGCTATTCCAGTATCGGCGTACCAGCACTGCTATAAGGAGTGGAAGAACCGTCTCCAGCGCTATGTCGCTGCAGAAGGAAGTTATTTTGAGGGTGAAGATATGAAATTGTAATTATATTTAAATATACCGTGACATTAACAAACATTCAATTATAGCAAAAAACCTTGGGGTAATTGATAATATTAAATGTTAGAAGTATTTTTTAGTTGGTATTTACAAAATTGGAGTTATTATGAAAATACAGTTTTCATCCCATGCATTTTTACTATAAATGAATTTTATTAATATCTTAATATTTGTATTGATCTTGTTCGAAACTAATTAGTCATGCTTGATTGGACTAACAAACTCTCCTATACATTGAAGTTATTTTCTACTTTTAGTTCGATTGCGTGCATTTCTTAAGCTATGATTAATTTTCTGAATTTTTAGTCTCAAAACGACAACAAAAGTACTCTTAATCGAGAGCTTTGACTTTAATTTAAATGTTGCGTTATTTTGACCTACGACCTACCATGGATGTCCAAGAGCCTGTCGACAAGTGTACCTCTTCTCCACATTTACACACATTAAATTTCGTATAAAATCTTTTGCAGAATCACTAATCTCATCCCAATAGGGGGAATCGAACTCAAAGTCACCTGAAACAATATGATTGTATAATATGGCGGCATAATCCTTCATGTTTATCTGGCCACTAAATGAAACCACATATGTTTGAAATATTGTTTACTGATCCGACGATGGGGTTCGCAATATTTAAAAATAAATTTAATATCGTAAATCTATTTCTTATAAAGATGATTTTAATACCAATGCTGAATTATATTTTCACGCAAGTTCTCTATCAAGGGGCCATGGTTTGGGAGGAACCTTGAACGGATATCAATGCTTACAGGCTTACAGTTGCCTACAACGGCAAACCTGCAATAGCATTTTTGAACTTTCTAATGGGTGATTTTTTTGCTAGTATCTTTTTGGCAACACTGTTTTTGACAGATGACGCGTGAATCGTGTCTTGTGTCATTGTCAAACTTGTTCAGTTTGGTCTATAATTTAACCATGAATCGACTTACGAACGAACAACGCTTGCAAATTATTGAATTTTACTATCAAAATTCATGCCCGGTTAAGAGAGTGCATCGAGCACTGCTTCCAATTTATGGGCAATTTGGTCGGCCTACTGAGGGAGCTATTCGGAAGCTTGTGACTAAATTTCGAACCCAGTTTACATTATTGGACATTGAACCACCAACACGCAGACGTAGAGTGAGGACTGAAGAAAATATTGCCGCTGTATCCGCCAGTGTTAGTGTTGACCGTGAAATGTCGATTCGCCGCCGTTCGCAGCAATTGGGCCTCTGTTACTCCACTACGTGGAAAATTTTGCGACAGGATTTGAGTGTAAAACCTTATAAGATATAGCTGGTGCAAGAATTGATGCCACACGACCTCCCACAACGTTTCCCATTTGGTGAATGGGCGCTGGCAAAGTTGGAGGAAGATCCACATTTTTATCGAAAAATTGTGTTCAGCGACTAAGCTCATTTCTGGTTGAATGGGTACGTTAACAAGCAAAATTGCCGCATCTGGAGTGAAGACCAGCCAGAAGCATTGCAAGAGCTACCAATGCAATTTGGTGTGGATTATGGGCCGGTGGCATCATCGGGCCGTACTTCTTCAAAGACGACAATGGCCGGAACGTAACTGTGAATGGCGAGTGCTACCGTGCGATGATAACAAACTTTTTTTGCCCAAAACGGAAGAGCTGGACTTGGCTGACATGTGGTTTCAACAAGACGGTGCCACATGCCACACCGCACACGAAACAATGGCCCTATTGAGAGGCGAGTTCGGTGAACAGTTTATCTCACGTTTGGGGCCCGTCAATTGGCCGCCTAGATCGTGTGATTTAACGCCGTTTGACTATTTCTTGTGGGGCCATGTTAAGGCTAATATCTACAGGGATAAACCAGCAACGATTGACGCACTGGAAACCAATATTGAAGCATTTATTCGTGACATACCGGCCGATATGTTGGAGAGAGTGTGCCAAAATTGGACCTTGCGCATGGGCCATCTAAAGCGGAGCCGCGGCCAACATTTACATGAAATAATCTTTAAACATTAAATTATATCGACCGTTCTATCGTCTCAAATAAAAATTTAATCGTTTTTTCAAATTTTTTGTGTTTTTTTGAAAATCAAATCCTATACCTCTTAAAAAATCACCCGTTAGATACTTGAATCACCAGGAAGGCCTAAAGCCTAAGCAACCATGGATACGGTGGGGCTATAGGGGGATACAGGGAAAAGGGGGGACGCCACCCGGGCTCTAGTAACACGTTTACAAGCAACATGCACATATTCAGGCCCAGCCTTAGAGATCCGCCGGGTGGTACCTCCACGTTCGACAGTCAGAGACCGTCTACCACCTACGGACAATCACAACATCCATAGCCAAGAGAAAAATTCTCTTGGGACGGGATTCGAACCCGCACAGAACACGGTTACCGATTAGTAGAACCAATAACGTCTACCACTACGCTACCGCTGATGCCTTATTATCAAGATAATTTCGATACAAATGTTGAATTACATTTTCACGCAAGAAGGCATCCAGGAAAACCAATTTTCCTGGAACCATGAATTAATCGAGCTAGGACAAGAAAAAATTGCAAAGATTATAAAATAAAATATTACTTTTAACATTGATGTAGCTTTACTAAATATGCCTTTTCCGCTGACAAACAAGCGCCTAACGTCATACTCAGTGCGACATGTATGTACATTGTACATATAAATATTCCTCCTTAGCACATACCATTTCAAAATGCATTTCAAATACACGTTCGGCTATATTTTGGTGTAAAAAAATTAGAATAAAAATGGTAGATGTTTCCCAAATTATGGTTTGAGACGTTTAGTCCTGGTGTTGCATCCTATTTTATAAATTCAAATATTTAAGAAAATTGTATAAAAATAAACTTTAATGTTTCGCAAAATATATCTAAAACAATATTAGAGCTTAAAAATACTCATATTGTAGCCTGTTCAATGAATATCTCGCAAACCAGTCTGCCGAAACAAGCGCTCAACGTCATACCCAGTGCGACATACGAAGTCTGTAAATTAAGTGATGAAACTGATTTTTTATTCAAATATAATTGCAACTTGTCACCCTCCAAGTAACTTCCTTCTGAAACCACACAGCGCTGGAGATGATTCTTCCACTCCTCATAGCAGTGCTGGGATTCCGATACTGGAATAGCCTTCAGCTGGTCGGTTACAGCCATTTGAATGTTTTCGACTATCCCAAAATGAGTTCCCTTGAGGTGATTTTTCAACTTTGGGAAGAGAAAAAACTCACAACGACTCAAGTCATGCGAATAAGGAGGCTGAGAACCCACAAAAATGTTTTTGCTTGCCAAAAAGTAATCTATTGACATTGTATGAGTCAAATTTAACTCTTCCCCCGACCGTTTACCGACGATCTGAACGCGAGAGATCCCGGATTCTGCGTCGTTCATCTTGAATCGACCTTCTCTCTTATGAAAATGCCTTAAAACACCGAAAACCTATCTTCGTAGCCCTGTTTAGCAAGAGTTTTCGTTGCATTGTGTCCAAGTCTGAAGCATAAAATCGCTACGGACAACCAAATGACTCGAGCGAGTTCAAACTTGTACTTAAGGCGGATCACATGTTCACCTGTCTCCCCTCCAAGCCCAGCGCCTCGAGTGTTGCCAGAGCGAACGCCACGTTGCCAGTCTCATCATTTAATTTACAGACGTCGTATATGTACATACCATTTCGAAACTTCTGGTGTATTTAAAAACACACTTTAGGCTATATTTTGGAGTTAAATAATCGAAAACAACAAATTGCGATGTTACCTGAATTTTGATATTTTTGAGTTTCAAATTTGTTTTTTTATCAAAAAATATAGAACATTTTCTATGTAAAACGCTATATAATATAATGCTACTTAATTAAAAAAATCTTGGAAAAAATCCCAATTTCAAATAAAGCTCATCTTTCGAAACCCGTAACTTAGCGAATGAACTTACCATACACCTACTATATGTACGACTAGGCTCAATATGAACGAATTTTAAAATCTTTGTTGATGTTAAACAGCAAAGATGTGGCTAGTTTTTACCGTATCATATTAGAACGCGATATAGTCTAATCATATTAGACGAAAATACCCCTGGTTTGCGAAATAATTGTAAAGTCTGGTTTTATCGCTGCAAGTTGTTCCGGGGGTATTCAAAACATGGACGCATAAAATTTGTACACCAATTTTTGTGGAAACACTTTTTATTCGACAACAAAGAATGAGAAAACGTGGTTTTTGGGTTTCAATCGAAAGTATTGACAGGAACAAAGAACTTTTCATATAAGGTTTTTAGGTATTTATGAGACCTACAAAATGAGACCACACGTAAAAAGATCCGAGTAAAAATGCAGGTTTTGGCACTTGTTGGCAATGCGACGATAATTCCACGCAACTACTTTGTTGTCAAATAAAAAGTTTTCCCCAAAAAATTGATGTACCTATTTTATGCGACCATGTTTTAAATCACCCTTGAACAACTTGCACCAATAAAACCAGGCTTCACAATTATTTCGGAGAAATTTGCTAATATGATTAGACTAATAATGTAACAAAAAAATTGGGATTGGCTTTCCTACGATAATGCAGATGACTCCCAAGGTCAAAGAGGCCGACCGGCGGATTATACAGGCATTCCACGAAGTGTCTTCTTTGGACATAACTACTCTTTGTCTGTACCATGCTGACATCGCACGAAGCCTTCGTTGCAATTTTAAGATGGCACGGCGTAAAAGCAGCAAAGTCCAGGATCGCCTGGGGGGTAGGCATTCCTGCTTCAAATGACGTCCAGCCCGCCAAAACGACATCGTCGGCAGAATTGTCATTTGTATTTGAAAAAAACGACCGTGGTGCTTTCATTTAGCGGCCAAACAAACATGGAGGATTACCAGCAGGAAAATCACAGGAAGGTTTCAGAGAGTACGACCGCCTTGTATAAAAAAACGACTTACCTTTCAGGATTTGCGCAAATAAATTGGCATCATTTTCATCATAAAATGGCGGATAGCCGCATAACAAAATATAAGATATGACTCCTATACTCCAAACGTCGACTGCCTTTCCATAAGGTTTTTGAGCCAGAACTTCAGGCGCTGGAAAATCATAAGAACTATTATATTATAAACAATATTTAAAAATGTATACATACCAACATAACCCGGTGTTCCACAAGCAGTTGCCATGACACCCGAATCTTCCATTTTTGATAATCCAAAGTCACTTATCATTATTTTACTATCTTCGTCCGGGCTATAATACAGCAGGTTTTCAGGCTAAAACAAAAATATGATTCTTCTAAATCTAAAGGATCAACCTGTGTCTACCTGTTTGATGCATCGTCTTTGTCATGGCCAATAATTGAACAAAATAGGGAAGCTACAATTTTTTACTCCTAAAACTTTTTTAAAAAATGATTGGGATCGTCTGAAAGGTCAAAAACCAAATTATGAGCGTTTTTATTTTATCAGAGAGACGGAAATGAGCGACATGGTTTTTGGTGATATAACATTCAAAAAACATATATCATTTTCGAAATTTTTCGCAATTAGAATATTTCCTCGCCAGTAGGTGTGGTAAGTAAAAATGATGAATATGATACATACGATTAGTATTTTGGGGTCATTTTCGTATTCAGTGTTTAAACTTACCCTAGTACCAAGTTTCATTCGCTTGTAGCAAATGAATATTTTGCAAGTACATAATCGCTAGAAAGTACTCATACAATCTAAGTGACTCATTTTTTTACGGTTTGCAGTATTCTTCTGACATATATTATATTTTTCTCTATACAAGGTGTTTCGCAACTATGTTGTGACCCAAACATTTTTTTAATGGAAAGTACTAATTTTATTGCAGATTTGGATAGGCCCTTTCAAACGAAGCGATTTAGTATAACATACAGACAGCTAACCATGGACAGCTATTTCGTGCTTTATGGCTACTCCTCAGTACGGTCTAGGCTTGGGTGTCTCGTACAACGAAAGAAAGCATATCAACTATCACTATCTAAAGTGTGTGATCTACCTAAATAAGACAGTGAAAAGCGCCATCTATCACTAGAATTGACCAACACACCTGAAGAGTAGCCAAAAAGCACGAAATAGCTTTCAGGGTTGCCTATCTTTGATTGGACAAACGAAAGCAGAGCATGTTTACTTTGTTCAATGGAATTAGACCACATCTACTATACAGAAGGGCCCATTCATGTGTTAACGGAATATTACTCATAAACAAATACATTTTGGGAAAATCTATTTATGGCATGTTATACATGACATTTGAAGGCACATTTCTAAAATATTGGACATTATACAGGGTGTCTCAATTTAGACCAGGATATCAAAGTTGTGATTTTTTAAATGGAATGCCTCAAATTTTATTGCATATTTGGATAAACCAATTCAAAAGAAGAAGATTGATATAACATACTATGGGGTTTTGGCAATTGCCTGCTGAGATGCAAGGTGTTTTGTCCAGAAAAACCGTCCACTTCGGCAACCCCTCAATCCGCCATTTTGAAATTTGGAGTGCTGAATTTTGTATCAAAACAAACTTACAGACCTCAGCTTTTATCTAATTTGTTACTTTTTCGAATTTTCATTTTTGCTCATACAGGGTGGTCAAAAACGCGAATTGTACTTTTTCTCAAAAATGTCAAATGCATCACCCTGTATATTTGTGCAAGTTTAGATTCAATTTTTTATGTTTTTTTTTGTATGAGGTTTGATTCAGAAAAAATCTCTAGATTTTGAGTTATTAAGGTTTTAATAGAACAACACACCAAAATTAAGGGAAAAAACCACATCATCCATGGAAACAAAAGTCACTTAAATGGGGATTTTCCTGCAACTTTAATAGAACCTCCAACTGATTCGCCTCATTCGTGACACTTGGATTATTTATATTTTTTTACTATATTCCACTGCTCCACTTGATTCAAAACGTTCTCGTAGTGTGGAAAATGTTTCCGGCCTTGGATGTCGCATATTAGGGTACCGTTGCTTATAAATGCGAGATGATAGGAAACTATTTCTTCTATTATAATGCTCACAAAGCTAATTTTGACAGTTTGTAAGTAATCAACAATTTATTTGTTTCCAAGGATGATGCGATGTTTTAGGGAATTAAGCCGTTCCATAAAAGATGTGCTAATAACCGAAAAATAGCCGTAAAAACCCTTATGTGTCTAGTATTAAAAAAAAGCTTATAAACAATTGAATCCAAATTTGTACAAATATACAGGGTGATGCATTTGAAGTTTTTTGGAAAAACTACAATTTGCGTTTTTGAACAACTTTGATATGTAGGTCGAAATTGGGACACCCGGTATAATGGCCAATATTTTAGAAATGTGCCCTCAAATTTCATGTATAACATCCCAAAATATATTTGTTTATGAGTAATATTCCGTCCACACATATCCATGTGATGGGCCACCCTGTATATCTAGAATCGTCGCCATCTAGCGGTGACGTGGAGACTGGGCGACCAATTCGCGGACTGAGATCAGTTCCAAGCGGTTGACTGCGAATCACTGTTCGCAATGGTCGATTAGTTGTAAATGGCGCTTTGCTTTGTCTGATTTCGATTTATTCAACTTAAGGACACCTACGCATTTTTTACAGCTATGTGCCTAAATAAACATGAAAAAATACAGCTTGTGGTCATGCTTTTTGGCTGTTATATGACATGTACATCACGAAGATCCATGTCACTCATTTCCGTCGGTCTGCCTGTCGGTCCCCTAATGCTTGGCCCGTCTATAACTTGGAAAGTACCGATTGGATTTTGATGAAATTTTCATACAAGGTTACTGCTATGCCAGGACGGGCTAGATGTTGAAAATCGGTCCAGTCGCAGCGGAGCTAGAGGCAAAAAAATGAATAAAATAAAAATCGCTAAATCTTCGTTTTTTACGTTTCTGAGGATCCTGGCCATTGCCGTTGCGTGGGAAGTGCAGAGTCAACCTACTTGACGCCATGCCATGTCTTCGTTATGCGCGAGAAAAAAATCTTTATTAAGTCGGGTGGACGAAATTGGTAGTCGCGCTTCTCTAATTATATGCGAAGTAAACAGGTGGATTAATTACCAAATTAATGAGGCTAATTGCTCCATCCATACATACGAACATGCGCATAAATTTAGGTATACGAGTGTCGTGTGACATATTTATAAATCAGGAAAAAAGTTGTGAATTCAATGACTTGATGAACTACATTTTTTATCATTTGTACTTTAAAAAGGCTACGCTAGAAACATAAATGTCAATGGCTTCATTTATAGACCAGATTATGCGAGAAAGATCAAAGACGGCATTAGTTTCAAAAATTACAATATTTACTTTTAAATCTCGATGCACAACCCCTTGTTCATGCATATAATCGACTGCTTCTAGAACTTGTCTGATCAAATCAGCCGCATCTTTCTCTGTATAAGACCCCTTTTCAACAATCCTGTCGAAAAGTTCACCTCCTGTAACCCTGAAAAATGATGATTCATTAGTCGATTGAACTGATTGCTTAAATTGATATATTGTCTTTGAATACTGTTTTTTACATTTATACTTACAGTTCCATGATGAGATAGAACTTAGACTTATCCTCGAATGTTTCTAATAGCTGTACAATGTTGGGGTGCTTCAACCTGGAAACACAATATTTAACAAAACTCTCATTTACTCTCACAAATAGGGAAAGAAATGATAATAGAATCAATTGTAACCCATTAATTAGGACTATACAGGGTGTTTCAGTTTATTGTTGCATAACTTTAAGATTCGATAGAACTTTTAAAATTAATGCATAAAGTCTGAATAAACATGGGTCGAAAAATGCGTGGCTTCCGAAATACAGGGTTTAAATTTACTTTCTAAAATAGTTTTTTTTAAATATTTCGAACAATATTTGATGTATAACAGTGAAAATTGGTATACAAGGGTTTTTTGGTACGACAAAACGAACCATGGGCATAGTTTTACTGTAGCCGCTAGAGGGCGCTCTCTACTGTACCTGTAGTGTATTAAAATGACCGAAAAATTTTTCTTAGTGCAATTTTTTGCTTTTTGAATAAAAAAACTGATTCTTCACACTTTTCAACATAAAAAAGCTCTCCTGTGAGTTTTCGTTATAGTTAGCCGTTTTTGAGATATTTCGATTTTTAAGGTTCGATGCATTTTTAATTATTTATGGGAAAATAATATTTTTTTTTGCATTTTCGATTTGGGCATTACAAGTAATTAAGATGATCGTTTAAATTGTGTTTTTAAACACAGCAATAATTCCTAACTCCAAATAAACACAAAAAAACAGAATATTAATTTGTTTAATATTCCAATATTATTTTTAACAAATTAAATTAATTATTTACAACTAAAATGCTATTGGATAGTTAGGACAAACATACAAAATCTAAAGTAGTTGCTCGAAATGTAAACCCAATTGTTCAATACACAATTCACATCTACGAATGATCGAACGTGGTATAGCATTATTATTTTATCACATGCATTCCTGATTCTGTCTATTAGCATATATCTCTTGTGGTTACGGGAGTCTGGTATGCTTTTTCTTTTAGAAATCCCCACACAAAAAAATCACGGCCGATCCATCTTTCTGGATAATTTTCGTCCACCCAGTTTCTAACTATTCTCGAATAATGAGATGGACAACCATCAAGCTGGAACCAGGCCAATCTTCTTAAATCTAACATAACATCATCCCACATATTTGCGTGTTCAGCCTTTAAAAATTCCAAGAAGGTCGCAGCATTTAACCTTGCAGGTTACTTAAAAACTCCCTATTATTATCAGTTCTATCAAGAATCCACTGACAAAATGTGGTTCTTCATTCTCCGTCCCCTAGCTGTAGTCCTTGCACAGGTTGCAAATGGTAAGGACGTCTATGGTCATTTCTAAGAACACGGTGAACATGGCTTGCTGAAATTCCCAAGGCACCAGAAACTCTCCTAACACTTGTGGTCGGATCTCTATCAAACTCACGCAGAATCATACGGGTAAATCTGCGCTGACGAACATTTATGTTTTGATCCCCTTGGAGATTTTCAAAACCATTTTCAATTATTTGGCGATGCACTCTTACAAATACTGAGCGAGTTGGATGTCGTCTGTTTGGAAATCTTCGTGCGTATTCTCTGGCTGCTTCTGCTGCGTTTTCATTTACAAAGCCACACACAAAATGAATATCCGCTAACTCTTGATTGGAGAATAAAAATGGCATTTTTATAAAACTTACAAAAAAAACAGGTAAAAGAAACTAAATTTCGTGCATTCACAATTGCAAAAAAACGTTTCAGGTTTCAACAGACAACAAAACTAACTGTCAACTAATTGACGTTTAACCTTATTCTGGTTTCAATTTCAAAAATATTTGCAGGCACAGCCTACTTCTAAAAATTATCGAGATACTGACTTTTTAATGTTATTTTATCATAAATAATTAAAAATGCATCGAACCTTAAAAATCGAAATATCTCAAAAACGGCTAACTATAACGAAAACTCACAAGAGAGCTTTTTTATGCAGAAAAGTGCGAAGAATCAGTTTTTTCATTCAAAAAGCAAAAAATTGTACTAAGAAAAATTTTTCGGTCATTTTAATACACGACAGGTACAGTAGAGAGCGCCCTCTAGCGGCTACAGTAAAACTATGCCCATGGTTCGTTTTTTCGTACCAAAAAACCCTTGTATACCAATTTTCACTGTTATACATCAAATATTGTTCGAAATATTTAAAAAAAACTATTTTAGAAAGTAAATTTAAACACCCTGTATTTCGGAAGCCACGCATTTTTCGACCCATGTTTATATAGACTTTATGCATTAATTTTAAAATTTCTATCGAATCCTAAAGTTATGTAACAATAAACTGAAACACCCTGTATATCTTAGACGGCAAACAGTACATTTCGATTATCCTCTGTATTTTGGATTCATATTATGTAAAACGTAACTTGTTATATTTGTTTTGATATAAACAATTCATGCCTTCTGAATGGAAAATAGTCGTAGCACGTTTTCATAAGTAGAGCAGACATTTAACGGAAAACAATCCGGCTCACTGTTTCGACGTAATTAGTCCAGGAAGTATTTTCTCTGCTCGAAAAAATATTGATTCGATTTTTTGCATAATCTTATTTAAAAATGTTCGCTTTCAACAAATCTGCATGCTCCGGACATGTTTTAGGTTTTTTGGGTTGTTCTGGACAAATGGAGATAGTTTTCGAAATATAAGCGATTTAATATTTGAAAAAATGCAAAATATACCATTTTCGGTATTAAAAAATTTCAATGTTGATGAAGTTCTTAAATATTCACCAAGCATCCATTAACAAAATCCCAAAAAATTTTAGGGGGTACTGTTATTCTGAACCTTTGTTTTTTAGTTGTTATTCAAGCGCACGCTCAATGCACATTCTGAGGTATATTTAAGGATCATAAAATTCAGAAAACATGTGTAGGTATAAAAACAGTTCAGTCATCATTTACAAAAGCATCGCAGAATGCTAAAGTGGTACGTACATCTAATATCCAAATATTGCTAAAATATATAAATATTTCTCATATAGCGGTGTGTCAGTGACGACACCACCGCAGACCTGTTTGAGTTTGTTACCTATTGAACAATCGGCAGCTGCCTCGACGACGATGCAGCATCGCGCCGTGCATGCAACGCCAATGATTGCCAAGTTGTTTATGTATAATTACGAGCACATTATACATCGGACTTTCATCATTTTATTTCCAGCTGTTACGGGGATCAGAAGCTTCTTCTTCTTTAAAGAAGTTACATTTACAACCCCTTACCCCCTACAACCCGCAACCCCCAAGGTTCAACCCCAACAAAAAAAATTGCGAAGTTTAACCGATTTTTATTTTTGTCGTGTTTTTGCCCCTAACTCCGCCACCACTAGACCAATTTTCAATAATTACAAAGATTTTTCATCCTTGGCATAGAGGTAGCCTTGTGTGAAAATTTCATCAAAATCCGAGCGGTACTTCTCAAGTTATAAGCGGTTATAAAATTAGCGGACAGACATACCGATGGAAATGAATGTCATTGTTTTTCGTGATGTACGTATATACTAAGTGACATATAAATCCGAACACCCAGTTTAAATGGTTTTATTTTAAGAAAAGTTGTTGAATGTATTTATCTTACTGTAAATATCAAGTGAAAAATTTTTCAGCCTCATCAGTTGGACATTCCTGTTTTTATACTGCTTTTTTTTAATTCACTAACGCTCTAAAAATGAATATTTCATTAATTAATATTTCAGCCGCAGTAAAGAATCAACGTTGGCGGATTTTGGTTCTTGACATCCTTTACGATCGGTTACGATGCCTAGAGTACGGAGACCTGTACGATTTCGTCAACTTAGTGAGTTTGATAGGGGGCGTATAGTGGGACTTCGGGAAGCTGGACTTTCTTTTCGGGCAATTGCAGTTAGAGTGCAAAGAAGTGTAGACACTGCGGTTAGGTGTTGTCAGGCATGGCTTCGAGAAGGCATCACGCAAAGAGCAAGGGGCACTGGACGCCGCCGTAGAACAAAAGACCGTGAAGATCGCCGCCTAAGATTATTGGCCTTAAGGGACCGTTTCTCCACTACCAGGTCCATTGCAAATGAATGGTTTGCAGAACACGGGAGACCTATTGGCATGCGAAGTGTTTACCGACGAATGAGAAGTTTTGGTTTGTTTTCATACCAGCCACACTGGGTCCTCCCTTTAACTCGAGAACACCGACGTAATCGCCTTGAGTGGTGCAGACAACGGTCACTCTGGGATCAGGAATGGAACAGTATTGTCTTTCCTGACGAGTCTCGATTTTGTTTAGGCATGCACGATGGTCGTGCCAGGGTTAGAAGGCGACGTGGTGAAAGGAGGAATCCACAGTTTTTTGTTGAAAGACATGTTCATCACACTGTTGGAGTTATGGTTTGGGGTGCTATAGCTTATGGTTCCAGGTCACCTTTAATCTTCATCAGAGGTAACATGAAGGCGCAGCGTTATATCCACGAAGTTCTAGAACTCCATCTTTTACCCTATCTTGACACCCTGACAGATCCAACTTTCCAACAAGATAACGCCCGGCCACATGTTGCAAGAGTCACAATAGACGTCTTTCAACATAATGATGTCACATTGTTACCATGGCCACCAAGATCTCCCGACTTATCCCCAATTGAGCACGTGTGGGATATGATGGGTAGGAGATTGCTCAATTTGCAACGTCCTCCTCAGACTCTAGAAGCGCTTCGAGAGGAGTTGGTGGTTGCCTGGAATGAGATACCACAGGAGGACATTGACAAGCTGATCAGAAGCATGCCTAGGCCCGTTGGAGAAGGCGTAGCAAATCAGGGTGCATCCACACATTATTAAAGGTCAAAGGGCTTTAAAGCAGTGCAATCATTTTGAAATTTTTATCATTTACTTATTATGCTTCATTAAGTACTTATACAAAATTTTATTAAAATAAAACCATTTAACTGGGTGTTCGGATTTATATGTCACTTAGTATATGTACATGTCATATAACATCCAAAAAACATAATATCTCATTTTCTAAGTTTTTCGCGATTAAAATATTTCCTCGCCAGGTTTGGCACAGGATGTAAAAACAATTAATT